ATTTTACGAAGTTTCACTTAGCAGTCATTGCAAAATTGAAATTGTTTATCCCAGAAAAGCTTTAATCTACAACGTTATTATGCGTAAACTATTAGGTTTTCATGAATTTTGAGAGCACCAACATTGAAGAGGAAGACTTATTTAATCAAATTAAATCATTTAAGTACCAAAAGGATTTATTTTAAACATTGTAAAATAGGTTTACAAAAATACTGATTTTAGCGTATAAACATTTAAAATAACTCGAACGCAAATGGTTTTTGTGCATTTTTAGAAAAGGTATTAATAATTTTTAAACAATCGACTTTTGAAGCTATTTTTGCAATAATTAAGCAACAAAATAACAAAAATAATTAAAAATTGTGTCAATTTTTCAAATAATTTATGGGTAAAAAACTACATCGTCACTGGTAATGCTCTTTCTGGTGAAAACCTTGTACCATCAAAATGTTCACATGTACCTAATTTCTAATCTTAATGATGTACCAACCCATTGCAGATTTTTTAGATGATAAATGGATCTGTTTTGTTCATACTTACCCTTACCGTCATGTATGAGTTACGTTCAACACTTCATTTTTTGTGAGATAAGATCACTACCCTATAAAAATTAATAGTCAGTCATGTATATCAAATATGTCCCCATGACGAGTTAGGTTTCTGATGAATCAATTGCATTAGTGGCAAGTGCTGAGCACATGATTTCTGTCAATGACAGTCATCCTCGTCATTTTCAGTGTTTCTACATACCTTGGAGGGCCTCGACCTTTTTAAGTTTCCTTCGCCGTACTGGTCTGTTATGTGTACTTGGGGTTTCCTTTTGGGAGTGCCCATCTTCTCCACAGCTCCTATCCACCTGAGCTTTTCCTAAATTAGTGATTCTTTTTATCATATCAGATTCTAGAACTTGGGCTATATGTTCTGTTCATTGTAGACGGATTTTTTAAATTGTTTATGTCTTTTTCACCGACTTATATGCTTGTATATGTTTGGTAGCTCAAAGTTGTATCTGCGCCTCATGTTCCGTCTTCAAAAACCGTTCCAAAAACTTGGCGTAATATATTTTTTCAAAGGTAGAGAGAGAAGATTATTCGGATTTGTTAGTCCACGCCTCTGATCCATATGTGAGGAACATGTGCAATAAGCTATGGTTTGGAGTATGACCGGTTTAAAACAGATAGCTTTAAAAAATGTGATAAGCGGATTATCAGCAGTTTGTACAGTCTTAATTTTTTCCGAAATAACTCCTATATAAGTAATGATAAAAAGTCGTGGATAATTCGAACTTTTCTATTTCCGCAAAAAGAAGTAGCATTTTTTACTCTCCTAACGCGCCACTTGTTTCAAGGCATTCAAGGTCATTGTACATTGTAAACGTATCTGGCACCTAAATTCTTCCCCACCCCACACGCCCCTTCAGTTGATCTATCTATCTATCTATACAGCCCTTGCTGTCCCATTTTGGACATAGGCCTCATCTTCCTTCTTCCACGTTTCTCTATTGTAGGCAATTTGTATCCACGTCGGGCCTGCGTGTTTCTTCAAGTCATCTGACCATCTCATTTGTAGCCTTCCTATTTTTCGTTTGTAACTATATGGTCTCGACACACACGGATCTTTTGAACTGTTCTCCTTGTCATGGTCAATGTTTCCGCACCGTAAGTCAACACTGGCAAAACACACTGATTAAAGGTTTTTCTTTTAAGGCATATTGGTATATCAGACGATTTGAAAATATGGTTCAGCTTGCCGAAGGCTGCTTAAGTCAGTCTTATACGACGGAGAAGCTCAACGATTTGGTTATCTTTTCCTATGCGGATCTCATGACCTAGGTATTTATAGGCCATTACCTGGTCTATGAATCTTGTTGCTACGCATATATCTTCGCTGACTACAAGATTTGTCATCATCTGGGATTTAGATATATTTATTTTCAATCCCCCTTCTAGCGAGGAAAGGTAGAGCTGATTTAAAAGTTCTTTTGGCCTCATCTATCCTATCAGCTATTAGTACAATATCATCTGCAAACCTTAGATGGCTAAGCTTTTATGCCCTTGTCGGTCAGTTTTGCCCTTTTACATATATATTCCAAAAGCGTAGTGAACAGTTTCGGCGATATGGTTATTATATTAATAAAAATAAGAATTTAACCATTAACAATTTTGTAAATAAGAATACCTTATCTTTTTGAATATTTCAATACTAATCTTCACGTTTAATCACTTTACTAGAAAACCTGGAATTCATATCCGAAGGTACTATTCGTTGCAAGATAATTAGGATGGAATTCCCCAGATTTTTAATAATATAATAGGTATAAAGATGCCGGATTTGGCCACGTGCCTCGTATGTTCAGTTTATATTCGAAACTTAACTTGAAAGGGTGAAGTTATTACGAACGAAAACAATTTTTTTTGTTTAGTACGTTTTTGATCGCATGTAATTTACGGCTCGTCGGTGTTTCCGCGTCTACGGCAGTAATTAACGTCTAGAATATTTCTTTTGCGAATTATATGCAGTGCGTGAGTGATTTTTATTCCATATACCTACGAATATATACGTACCTTTCGCTCGTGCTCGTTTTATTGGATTGTTTGTGATGGCTTCATCATCAACATCATCAAGTTTTACACCGGCACTGTTGCGTAGTCAGTACGTCTGTCTATTCACCAAGAGAGAAGACTATTGTCCTGAATGTTCACGATGTTCTGGTTTCTCAGAATCCCACAAACCCTGTTTGCATTATAGTCGAAAGTTGTGCCAACATAACTGGCGTAGGGGAGTCAACTATATATAGGTTCCTATCAGAAAGAAAAAAACACAGTATAGCTAACCCAAACACAAACGAACACTTAGAGAGAAAAAGCCTATATATAATTGATGAATTTGCCAAAAATGGTATTTGAAGGAAAATTCATGGATTTTTTTTCAAAAAAGAAATACCAAACCTAAACAAAATTTTAGAAGAAATTAGAGACGACCCGGATTAGCCTCATATCGGACGAACTAAATTGTGGCAAGTTTTAAAAGAATTAAATTTCTGGTGGGAGAAATCAGACCGAAAATCACTTTTGATTGACCTTGAGAAGATACGTGTGTAAACTCAGGTCACACTCTAAAAAAAATTTGGTCAGATAAAAATATATATTAAGCTCCAGGCAAGCCTTTATGGAAGGTTGGTCTACTGGTATCTCTCCACCTTCTGGTAAAGGCAATAGATTGATAATTTCTTACATTGGCAGTGAAAAAGGATTTGTTAAGCATGGTTTGTTGAAATTTCAGTCCAAAAGCACAAAAGACTATCACGAGGAGATAACAGCTGATGTTTTCGAAGAGTATTTTGAGCAGATGATTGAACACATACCACCAAATTCAAGTATAGTATTAGATAATGCACCTTATCATTCACGACTAGTAGAAACACTTCTAACGACTGCGTGGAAGAAACAGGATATTCTTGACTGGCTGCGGAATAAGTATCTGCCTTACGAAGATGGAATGGTAAAAGCAGAACTTTTCAAGAAATACGTAGTTGACAAAATGGCGGAGAGGCGAAACATTAAAGTCCTTAGACTTCCACCCTACGACTGCGAAATAAATCCAATTGAACTCATTTGGCACAAATGAAAAGTTATGTGGCTAGAAAAAATACGTCATATAAAATACAAGCTGTACGTGAATTGTTATATGAGTCTTTACACCATATTACAGAACAAAAAATGTGGGATCTTGATAACATAATTGATGCGACCGTAGAGACACAACCGCTAATTATTAACCCTCAAGACGACTCGGATTCCGAAGTTGATCCTATTTATTTTGAATTTGAATAGTTTTCTAATCGTAATTATATAAGGTAAGTAATAGTAGTTGTAATCGTAAGGTATCAAAGGGAAAGGCGCAAAATGTCGCCTGTCAAAATGTTCAATGTCTTTTAAATGTATCCATTTTTTTTTTCAAATCCTGAGAAAACTAAAAAGTGTTTTTGAAAAATTAAAGTCAGAATGAAATATTTATTAGAATAAATAAAAAGTTTCTTTTGCATGCAATATTTTCAATTAAAAATTATACTATACTTTCTCTTTTATTTTCACCCCTGATACATAACATATTAAAATAAACATTTTAGAAGTTTTCAGTAATAAAAGACTGAAACTCAGAAACTTCAGACTTTCTGCACTCAGTAATAATGTAATCTTTCATTCTGCGTTTAAATTTTTCAAAAATATTTATTAGTTTTCTTCGGATTCGAACATAATGGATACATTTAAAACACATTGAATATTTTGCCAGGCGACATTTGACGCCTTTCCCCTTAATTAAATAAATGTATCTTTTACAAATGGCAAGAAACTTTTTATTTTTGAATAAAATAAAGAAGTTTTATTAAAACAAAAATACAATTTAAAAAATATATTTATTTAGTTCAAATAAATGTTTCAATCATATACTCTACGACACTGATCGGTCATCTGTAACCAAAATACCTTCGTAATCGGATTATAAGGTTGACCGCTGTATTGTATTCCTTCAGATACAAGGTGGGTTAGTCGAAAACATCTTAAACCGTCAGTTTCAGGTTGGTTTTTACTATGATATCGTATTACCTATCCTCTCTGTATTTCAGTTCTCTAATTAGGGTTAAACTTGTAGTGAGCTATCGACAAATTGTAAACCGATTATAGGCCATATGTTTTGAACGATAAATCAAACACAGATATTGCTTGATCAAAATAAATCACATATATTTACAATATCTTAAGCACCTTACATGTATGTTTGTAATTATTACTAAAAATGATACAAAACAAATATCAGTCACTGATTCATTTTCTATTAATCACCTACTCAATAGGAGATGAATAGACTGAATAAAATTCATCAATATAAATTAAAAGTTCATATTTACATTTTGTAACGAATCACATATAACGAAAATATAGAAAATCACTACATCAAAATCATTGTCAAAAACTAAAGATTCGTAATGCTAATAATACCTTAGAATTCCATTCAAGTTTTTGAAGATGCAAAACGTCAAGCAGTTTATACTCGAAAAGAGGTACTTTTCAATTGCAAATCCAAACACGCAACGTCCAAATATTCAATATTTATTATAGTTTTACCACATTCACACACCGTCGTATATTTTTACATTTCTTCTTTATCATACTTTCTTAACAGCTACTGGAGAGGAATCTGCAAGACGCTTTGATTTGGATGATGCATCTGAAAAAAAAAAATTAATTGTTAGATAATAATCTAAAAACAGTGTTCCATTTCTTGTATTATGTACTAAATTAATTCATTAATTTCTACATAGGTTATAAGGTGGCCAAAGGTGCATAAAAAGTGCCATCCTTAAAGTAAGCAAGGTGCATAGACTTGTTTGCCTCGGAATCATAGGGGCATGAGGGCACCAGTCGCAGCTATAGGGGTTCTACCTGATTTCCCCCTTTACATATAATTATGAGTAGTTCAGAAAAATTAACAAATAAAAAGCCTTTTTCGTGACACTCTTTGGTACAGGTAAGTAACAACTGCTTTTGATAGAAAAAGTTTGTAAAGTTATTTTTGTTAATTTGTTGCTTAAGCTGCGGATTCAGTAGCAGAGAAGCTGAAACAGTCAACCATATCTTTCATGACTGCGAGATATTAGATTGCAGGCGGCAAACGCTTTTTGAAGACAACCAAGTGACTCCAAAAATATACGGTACCCATTCACTAGACCTGTATAAGTTGGCATAGCATTCCAGAATCATCGAATGGTTATCATGAAGGAAAAAGCATAGGTTAAAATTGAAACCTAATAACTCAAAGTTAGCTGATGTTGATGATTTACTTAGCTGATGGTAAAAATAAAAACAATCGAGTGTGCAACTCAGTAACAGTAATTTCTCTTTAATAGCGTACCGAAATGTGATTGGAATATAAATCGGGATGATTTTATAGTGTTAACAGGCGAAAGATATGAATTACTTCTAGTTATACTATAAGGAAAAGTAAGCAAAAGATTAGTAGGAAGATGCCAGAACTCGTGGTTCGACCGCTCATCGCAAAAATCTTTCTCGCAGCAGTTTCCAAAACTACAATTGCCATTTGGATCGCCAACCTTCGAAAGGAGACCGCGCCATGAGAAGATGATTTTATTCATCGGAACTAATTTTGTCTGATGATTATTACATAGATGACACAAGAAAAAAGTTATTTTGGGGAGTATGACAGTTCACTACATAATGAAGATTATTTGAATTGATCTTTTTTCGCCTTTGTTGACCAAGTTCTATAGTTGAAAAAATTAGTACGAATTGTTTTTAATAAATTTCATTTTATGTTAGGCTAAGGAAAGTCACTTTTAACATTACAAGAAAAGAAAAATGGACTAAGATGGTCAACAAAAGAGCATAAAGATTGGACCCCGTCGCCATGGGATTCAATACAATGGAGTGATGAGTCCAGATCTGAGGTGTGTGTTGGACAGTAGGAGTCGCGTCATTCGCAGGAAAAATGAAGTTTTCCATCCCGACTGTCTAAAGAGAAAAGTCAAATTTCCTGCATCTTTCATGATCTGGGGCAGCATGTCTTCTAAAGGTGTGGGAAAGTTACATTTTATCGATGGGATTGTAAACACGGACAAATATTTAAATATTTTAGAAGAATCTCTTTTACTGATTATGGAACACCGTTTAACATCAGCGGAAGATTTTGTCTTCTAACAAGACGGCGCAGATTGTCATACGTCAAAAAAAGTTTAAAATGGATTGAAGACCATGGCATACCACTTCTGGAATGGGTTTCTAAAATCTCAACTTGTCCTCGATAGAGACTTTGTGGCGCAAAGCTTTGAGAAAACATCCTGCCAGGTCCGTCAACGAATTGAAGGAAAAATTGCAAGAAATATGGGATTCGTTTACATTTACATTACTTACTTTACTTTATCGTATCCGGACATGTCATTCATAAAATTTCTGCCCAGTATCGGGCTACGTCGGTTCCATCTTTGTTGGCGAGCCACAAATCTTCAAGGGTACATCGATGAGGACAGTTTCTGCATGTAAGAAGGTGTTCCATATTCTGTGTTTCTCCACAGTCACAGTTCACATCATCTTGGTTGATTTTTCCCCATTTTGCCATGTTTGATTTTACTGTAGCAACCCCCGTTCTTATCCTATTCAAGGTTTTCCACGTTTTAAAGTCTAGGGTCTGGCCGGTCCATTGAACCTGGGAAGTGGAAAATACTCAGGCGGTCCATCCTTCACTGTTCCAAGGAAACTTTTCCTAGATTTTAGTCGCTTTCGTGGTGTTCGAGCTTTGTATAGGGCATGCCGATCGTCCGCGATCTGTTTAATTTTCTCTATGTGTTCTGCAGCGCCTCTGCGTGTTGAGGGTTCTGCAAAACCCGCTGCTCTATATAGATTTGAAAGTGGCGTTGGTTTCATGCACCCCGTTACTATCCTGCATGTCTCATTTAGCGCAGTATCAACTTGTTTGGTGTGGGCAGATCTGCTCCAAACGGGCATGCATATTCAGCAGTTGAGAAACACAGTGCCTGTGCCGTTGTTCTTAAAACGCCAGGACGTGCGCCCCATTTACTTCCCGTTAGCTTTCTGAGTATGCTGTTCCTAGTTGTTACTTTCCCTCTTGTTTTTATGCAATGTTGTTTGTAGGTGAGGGACCGGTCCAGAGTTACTCCAAGATATATAGGTTGGTTTATGTGTTCTAATGTATTACCATTCCATACAATTTGGAGTTTTCGCTTGGCTTCCTTTGTGCGAAGGTGAAAAGTAATTTACATTACTGACCAACGGCTTCGGGCGGATGAGTTAATAGGTGGTAGGGCACTCTTTTGTCCTGAGATTGAGAAATCGATCTCGAAGGCGGATGAACCAAGATCAACGGCATAAGGATACAGAAGGCAACGAGGAACCACTGTATTAAAGACTCATAGAGTACCCCGAGTATAAATCATCATGGCAAAAAATAGCGATTCTTTGGAAGTTACAGATCATGGTCATCGGAAACCAAGATCCGGCAGGAGGGGAGATTCAATAAGTTGCAGGGCTCCTCGGTCGTCAATCTGCAAAACCCCTGCAAAATGCATAATACATCGATCCGTACCGCCACATGGAATGTAAGAACGCTATTTGAAGCTGGAAAACTACACAATGCTAGTCAAGAGATGTGTCGGTTACAGATCAGTATTTTAGGACTCAGCGAAGTCAGATGGACAAATGCAGGTCAATGCGTCACCCCAAACGGTACCATATATTTTTCAGGACGAAATGACAATCATCATAGTAATGGAGTGGGAATAATGGTCACCAAGGAAATAAGTAAGTCAATTATAAACTTTGTACCCGTGTCAGATAGAGTTATATTTCTGCAACTGTCAACCATTCAGGGCAAACTAAATATAGTTCAAATATATGCTCCTACAGCGGAGAGTAGTGAAAAAGACAGAATAATTTTATAAAACCATTGAACAAACACTGAAAGTTGTTAAGTCTAGAGACATTGCAATAATAATGGGAGATTGGAATTCGAAAATTGGGAAAGGAGAATGTGGCAAATGGGTTGGAAAATATGGTCTCGGCCAAAGAAATGAAAGAGGTGATCGGCTGTTGCAATTTTGCCAGGAAAATAATTTTATAATTAAAAACACATTTTATGATCGCCTAGAAGACGAGTATACACGTGGAAATCTCCTGGGGACACTAAAGACCATATTATACGAAATCAAATAGATTATATAACCATAAACAACAGATATAAAAACACAATCGAATCTGTGAAAACGTATCCAGGAGCAGATATAGGGTCAGACCACAATCCAGTAGTGGCACAATTCGAATAAAACTTAAAAGAGTACAAACACCTAAGCCCAAACAAGTAATAGATATCAATCGTTTAAAGGATGAAACAATTAAACATCAGGTAGAAACAAGCATTCAGGCAAATCTTGAAAAACTTGAAAAGACAGAGAAGATACCAGAACTAGACATTAATAAACACTGGGCCATTATTAAAAAGAACGTGCTGGAGCCCGCTAAAAATATTCTGAAGAGAGAAAAACCAAAGAAACAGAAAGAATGGATGAGTGACGAAATTTTGTTATTGATGAATTCTCGAAGACTATCGAAAGGTAAAAGTGAAGAACAGTATAAGCAAATTAACACAGAGATCAAAAGAAAAATCCGCGACGCTAAAAAACAATGGTTACAAGACAAATGTAAGGAGATTAAAACTTGGAAGCCAAATATGATTCGCTCTATCTTCACAAGAAAGTTAAAGAAATGATCAACAATAGAAACAGGAAGCAGACAGTACTTATAGATCAACGAGGGAACATGATAATGGAAACAGAGGTGAAACTAAAACATTGGCAGACATACATAGAAGAACTGTTTGACGATCAAAGGCAACCTCCTTGTGATAATTTTCCAGAGGAGACAGGTCCAGAAATAAGCAAAGAAGAAGTAATGCAAGCGGTGAAGTCATCAAAGAATAGCAAAGCTCCAGGACCAGACGAGCTACCAGCGGATATACTAAAGTTGATAGACGAAGATCGAATCCATTTGTTAGTAGACTTATTTAACAAGATTTATGAAAACAGTATAATTCCTGAAGAATGGCTAAGATCAACCTTTGTCCCTCTTCCCAAGAAGGCACATGCTAAGCAGTGCAGTGATCATCGCACGATCAGTCTGATGAGCCATACTTAAAAATATTCCTCAAAATAATTTACAATAGAATTTACAGAAAATTGGAAGAAGATATCGGAGAAACTAAGTTTGGATTCCGGGAGGGATATGGAACTCGCGAAGCATTATTTGCCTTTAACATCTTTACACAGAGGTGTTTGGATGTGAATCAAGATGTATTTGCTTGTTTCATTAATTACAACAAGGCGTTTGATAACGTCAAGCATGACCAACTTTTAGAGATCTTGAAAGCTAAACAGTTAGACACTCGCGATATAAGAATAATATCTACTCTGTATTATAATCAGAAGGCAGTTGCACGCATAGAAAATAGCACAACAAATGAAATTCAAATTAAAAAAGGAGTTAGCCAAGGATGTGTGCTGTCACCAATGCTATTTAATTCTCTATTCGGAAGAAATTATGAAGAAAGCATTGGAGGATGAAGAGATTGGGATAAAAGTTAACGGCCAACCAATTAATAATATTAGATACGCAGATGTAACGGTTTTAATGGCGGAGACAGTAGAAGACCTGCAAGCCATTTTAAACAAGGTGGTCACAGCTAGTGAAGAGGAAGAGTTAACAGAAGAAGACGACGACGAAGAATGTCAAGAAGACGAAATTCATGATTATTTCAAAAAAAACAAAGATTGAATGCAAACCTGTACATTCACAATAACGAAATCGAACGGGTGCACAAATATAAATACTTGGGAACAAGTGTTAATAACAACAATGACATCACAGAAGAAATAAAAACTAGAATTGGAAAGGCTCGAGCTGCTTTTGTTAATATGAAGGACATTCTGGGAAGTCATGACATTAACCTAAACCTGAAAATGAGATTGGTTAGATGCTACATCTTTTCGATACTGCTGTACGGAGTAGAGACTTGGACTTTAAACAAGAGCAATCGATAAACTAGAGGCCTTCGAAATGTGGATATATAGAAGAATTTTGAAAATACCTTGGACAGACAAAATAACAAATAGTGTAGTTCTTCGAAGAATGAACAAAGAACGGGAGCTGTTGATCACCATCAAGAGAAGAAAGCTGGAATATCTTGGTCATGTGATGAGAGGGAAAAAGTACCGATTGCTCCAGTTAATTATCCAAGGAAAGATTCAGGGCAAACGAAGCGTGGGGAGACGACGTATATCTTGGCTGCGCAATTTAAGAGACTGGTTCCAATGCACATCTAACCAATTATAAAGCAACAGCTTCAAAGATACGAATAGCAATCTGCGCCTTTATTTTTGTTCTCTAAAATTTAATTTTCTTATCAATCTAACGTTGAGTCAACTGATATGTGAAGGGGCTTGTATAATGTATGAATATTAAGTTTTCCAATAAAAAATAACATTAGAATCTATTCAAACCCTCAGCACTAGTCAAGGACGCCATATTTTTCGTAGTTATTTCTTAAGGAAAAAAATAATTATGCTATTTCAATAGCGTTAACTATAAATTCCTGAATCAATATTGTTCTACAGCAGTTTTATTTTGACATGTGGTATTTGTATGCAACTAATTTAATAAACCATTTTGTTAAGTAAGTTTTGTTAGACATGCATCTTTAAAATATTTATACAAATGAGCGCTACCTAGGTTAATTATAATGAAATCGTTTTCCTAATTTAGTTCTATGTCTATTTTTGTTTTAAGTTTCTATGTAGAAGTTGAGCACAATTTCACTTCATCAACCATAGTGGTGTATCCATGTACTAAATTTACTACATATATAGCACTCCAGTTTTGATCGTTATATGACACTACTACTGCATTCTTATGACGATTGTCTATTACTGTCATCTTATTTTGCGAATTCATCAATCAGCCAATCGCGTCCACTGCTGGACATAGGCCTCCCTCCGTTCTTTCCAGTGTTCTCTACACTGGGCCGTTTGTAGCCAGTTTCCCGCTACACGTTTTATATCATCGGACCATCTAGTCGGTGGTCGTCCTCGGCTTCTTTTATAGTTTCTGGGCCTCCATTCCATAATACGTCTTGTCCACCGTCCATCTTGTGTTCTGGCTAAGTGCCCTGCCCAGTTCCACTTAAGCGTCGTGGTTCTTTCGATGACGTCTTGAACTCCTGATCTTTGCCTGATTTGTTGCTTTGTTATATGGTCACAAAGGCTCACGTTCAGCACTGCACGTTCCATGGCTCGTTGTGTAAGTTTATTCGCAGATTTTTGCGTGAGTGTTAAAGTCTCTGCTCCATAAGTTTGTACAGGTAAAACACATTGGTTATAAACCTTTCGCTTGAGACACATATTGCGAATTGGTCACAAATTAATTATTCTATATACACTCCCTGCTCAAATTATTAGACTCACCATAAAAATTTCAGTTTTTTGATTTCAGTCGCACTCTTGGATACTAACGTGTTGAATGGGTTGCATAATTATCGGGTACATAGTTACGTAGAAAATGGTAACTAATTGTTTTACATTTTGAGTTTTTTTTTACTTAAAACATAGATTATTGGTCAATTTATATAAAATTTACACTAGTAAGTATTCATATTATTACATAATTTAATCTTAGAGATTATCTCTTAGAGAGATAAAGACGTTTAATCTTAGATTGGAATTTTTAGATGGGCAAATCTAAAGATCTTTGTGGTAAAAAAAATTTTGTCCATTACTGCTCCATTAGAGAATTCAACACTTAACCGGAGAGAGATAGCACGAAAATGTGGTATATTCCAGCCATCAGTGAGAATATTGAGTCAAAAACTCAAAGAGAAGCGACCTGTGACATCAGTTCGGAAGGGTCGGTGTGGCAAAAAAACTTCAGTCACCCCCAGGGTGCAACGAATTTGATAAAATTTAGCTGTAACACACAGAAGAGCCACCCATAGAGATTTAAGAAATAATTTGGAAGAAGCGGATACTCAGTATCGGTGGCCATCGAACACCACAAATGTTCAAAAAAAGCTTAGCTTGGGCCAAGAACCATAAAGACTGGTCAATTGATGATTAACGTAAGTTAAATTATTACAAATCATTTTAGTTTTGCGCTTTTAAATTTTTATTCACATTCACAAATTTGCTTCAGCGATGAAGCCACATTTCAAATTCTGGATGATAAGGCCCAGTTTGTCCGAAGACGTCCAGGGGAAAAATATGAAAAGCGGTGTGTAACTAATACAATTAAACATTCCACCTCAGTAATCATATGGTCAGTGATTAGTGGCAAAAGTATGGGACGAGTGTATGTTGTAGAAGGAAACATGCGACAAGACCAATCAATATAAAAGAGTTTTGCAGACAAAATTGGTTCCACACGTGAACGAATGGTTTGGTAAATTTGTAATAAATTCTGATTAATCCTTTTTATTAACACAGGCCGCATTAACATTACCAAAGTATACTTTTCGAAAGGTTTTTGGTGAGCTGAATATGAATCTGAGCTCCAAATTGCCGAATTGGTTCTGGTTTTTGAGATATTCTAACCCAAAAGTGTACAAATAGCCATTTTTTAAGTTAGGTAGACCCGTTGATATTTTCTATCTTAAAATAATAAGCATTACACCTTAACCTATAAGATTTTCTCTTTCAAAAATGGTATGGTACATACTAACAATATATATACATATATATTTATATATATATATATATATATATGATATATATATATATATATATATATATATATATATATATATATATATTATATATATAATCTCTTGCTTTAATTCAAACGATCGTTTGAGTGTCTTATGTCTATGTTCAACTGAAACGTCATTAAGTGACCAGCAGTAATCTGTCATCATTCGTACATCAAAACGACCTTGAAAATGACGCGTTTTACGACTGTTTGAAATCTTGGTGAAATCGCTCCCCTATATCTTCTCTAAATACACCTACATTTTCAGGGAAATAATTTAGGTGAGAAACCAAAACGTATAATTACAAACTCATCAAGCAGCCTAGTTCTTGAAAACTGTTTTCCTAGAAAATTGTGAACAACTTATTTAAAATTAACCCATGCTTCTTTTTCAGAAAATTTCATAGTTTTCTCCAAATGCCATCTTTCATTAGCTTCATGATGTCAGGGCCTACAAAAACAGTAGAGGCGGCTTGTAGGGGTTGATAGGGTTAGAGGTGTTTTGTTTCAATCAGTACACACAATTACTGTATGTGATTTTATTTTGATATGATTCCACAAGCAATTAATCTTAGGGATTCATGAGGTGGGTTTAGAAAAAAAATTGTGGACTGAACGGGTGGGTTGGGTTTGCGGTATGTCGGTTTAAGATTGTTGAATTTGGATTGTCAGCTTTGACTTTGTTGGAAAGATTTTATGAAACTAAGAAACTTTAAAATGCAATATCTGATGTTGAGATTGTTATAAGAGTTTCTGGGAGAAAAATTATATTGCGAAGCTACATAACCACAAAAACAGCTATTTTTGCACTTTTGGGTTAGGATATCTCAGAGATCAGAGACAATTTGTAGCTCAGATTCGGATTCGGCGCGCAAAACATCCTTCTGCAAGGTAAATTCGTATCTCTGGGTTTGAATATTGGTAAAATTTTGTCGGCATGTGAAACCTCTTTGATATTTTTTACTATAATATACATTTTTTAAAAAATTTATTAAAAATCCTTTGTAAAAGGTAGATAAATATATACCTTTTACAAAGGATTTTTAATAAATTTTTTAATATATGGTATACAGCCAACTACAGGAACGTAGATTCCTTGTGGATACATTTTTTATGTCAACAATGACGTAAATTTCACTAAATAGCATAAATTTCCCTTTTTTTAGTCATTGGGTAAGTCACGAAAAAATTCGTGAGCATATTGTTTTACCAATAAAAAATTTACTTACCTTGCAGCCACCTAACCTGGGTAGCGGGTCCGTAACCTTTTTCATTTTTAGCAGCAATACGGAATATTATTGCTGCTTTCGTCGTTGTGTCTAGATGGGCAGCAGACAAGGAGGTATTACTTACAACACACTTATTATTCGGGCCGCAATAAACTCGTACAAAGGCCAGTTGACCAGCGTTGGTATTAACTTTATCCTATTAAAAAAGAAAAATATTACTACAATTAAACTGTGTATGTGCTTTACATTTTATCTGATACTGAAATAAATCAGTGCCAAGGGGCCATTCCCTAGGCGTATCTACTAATGACTTCGTAATTATCTAATTATATGTATTACAAAGTTTCATGAACTTGACTAACTCATTTGAGGACACCAATCTAAGAACGAAACTATGAAATCTGACATTACTGAAAACAATCAATTGTCTGCAGGGCGTTCTCAAAGCAAGACAGGATCAACTAGTTTTTGGATTATTAAAATAATTCGAGTATTTATTTTTTCTGCAACAGTCGTTTTTATTCTATATTGATGATGCGCTTTCCGTTCATAGTTTTGAAACATCTCTAAAACTCTATCAGGCAACAAACACGAGAGCACTATTGTTCTAGTTCTAAAACCCTATTTTGTCTCCATGTCAAAAAAACATTCTAATTCGTGTCATGTGGAATACGAAATATTATTTAAGACATTTTTACACCAAAATATTGCAAAAAGAGTCGATTATATGGTGAAAATATGTTCAAATATGGTAGGGATTGGAGAGTCGACCATCTACCACATTAGAAGCTAAGAAAAGGATCACATTGTAAAGCAACCACTCTATATGTTGTACAAAATGAAATTAAGTCCAGAAAGTGGGGTTGGATCGGTCACACACTCCGAAAAAATAGTTCCAGTATCACAAAGACTGCCCTAGAGTGGAATCCCCAAGGGAAAAGAAAAAGAGGTCGCCCAGTACAAACTTGGAGAAGATCCATCATGGACGAGACAAGGGGCCAAGGAAAGTCTTGGAATGAGGTAAAGGCCTTAGCGCAAAATAGAACCCGATATCGCGTTTTCCCTGAAGCTCTATGCTCCACTTAGGAGTTCAAGAACCATATATAGAATAATACACAAATGTATACATTTTTATTTATATCTCTGTATCAGAACTTGGATTTTAAAAGCTGTCATATTGTCTGATAATCACTGCATGTCCTTGCATTCACTGCATTCCCTAACTGTGACAACATATAAAGTGGAAAATGTACTGAACTATTTTAAACAACTTAAAAACAATTATTGCAGAAATGTAGGCAATTTGTAAAACAATTTTTGGATTACTATAATAAAAATCCCAATCCATTAATATTACCTTACACAAGACAGCAGTTTCACATATTTTATAATTATTAAAACTTTTTCAAGTCAGTAGATATAGTATATATGAATATTCAACATACCTATAGAAATATTTTATGTTTAAAATAAAAAGAAGGTGCTGATTCAAACATACTTCAGAGATATATCGCTAATCAGTAACCTGACCCGAAGGCACGCCTATGTCTGCCAGTGACAATAAATGTAGACTCATTTCTACCCATTCGGACCTTTTGCAGTGTTTATAACTCTCCAAATATCCAATAAAGTTATTTATAATTAAAAACATAAATGATATATAGACTTACCTTTGCTTTCACAGCCAAATAAACAGAATATTCTAATATTTCACCTTGGTTGGCACTAGGAGGTTCCCAAGATAAATTTGCCCCTTCTACCGATTTGGTTATTTTGATTGCAGAAGGTGCACCTGGGAAGCCTGGTAGACAAGTTTTAAATGCTGATACCTAATAAAGTAAAATACTATATAAGTTCAGGTGTCTATAGGAATTACAAATTTACATATAAATGGTAACCAAACAAATATTCAAGTGGTTTGATAAACCACTTACCCCACAATGAGAATCGGACAAGATGAAATAGAACAAGTTTAGGATTATATATATCTTGGTCAAACTATAAAACTTAACAAAGATAACCAAACAGCAGAGATCAAGAGACGAGTTAGACTGGCATGGGCGGCATTTGGCAAACTAAGCTACATTCTTAAAAACAAAAGATATCCACAGCATCTTAAGACCAAAGTATATAATCAATGCGTACTCCCTGTTCTTACTTATGGTTCCCAAACGTGGACATCTACAAAAGCAAACATGGACAAAATCATAAAAACCCAAAGAGCAATGGAAAGACAAATGTTGCACATAAGACTAATGGATAAGAAGAGAAACGAGTGGATAAGACAGAAAACAAAAGTGAGGGATGTTCGACAAAAGTTGCAAAATTGAAATTGAGATTTGCCGGACACAATATAAGACAAAAAGAAGACCGATGGAACAAAATTCTTATAAGTTGGAGACCGTGGGAATATAAACGAAGCAGAGGAAGGCCCCAAATGAGATGGGCAGATGATATCAAGAAGCACGTGGGCTCTAGATGGATGACTGTAGCGACAGACAGAGAAGAATGGAAAAGGATTGGGAGGCCTATGTCCAAAGATGGACCGAAGAAGGCTAATTAGATAGATAAATTGATAAACCAAGATGACTATTAATGGTTATGGGCAATTAATCAATACAGCAAAGCAAAGAACAGTTGGTCATTTTGTTACATCCACTATACGATTTTTCTGTATCCCTCTGTACTGATAAATATATATTTTATATTATTCTGTCTTAATTTTATGATAAAATATGGTAACAATATTTCTATATATGTGCTTTGCTAGTCCTCGAATAGTTAGAATATCCTTAGTAATTCCCTTTTCGTTCTCACTATTGGTACTTAATCAGCGTCCAATGCCCTTAAGGCCTCTATAACAAGAATTTGAAAAGTCTTGTTGACAACAGATCCCTGTCTCAAATTTAATTTTTTTTATCATACTTAAACATACACTATAAAGTCCGGCTATCCAATAGATAGAATCCCAAGGCCGCGTGATCACTGACTGTCGGAGAGTAGCAGGGTTGTGATTGGCTGTCTGCAGACTTACATGCGTTTGAAACTGAAACGGGAGAAGCCTTGTACACAACGCACAGTATTAAATGAAATCAGTTTGTGTTAGATTATCGTTTGTTTTAAATATGGATGAAAATCCTCTTTCGCCTCCAAGAAAAAGGGCAAAAAAAAACAAATTTACTGTTGAAGAAAAATGTGTAATTTTAAATACATGTAAAAAAACATCTGAGGAGTTAAACGCAGAGAAGGGCTGCGAAAGTGTTATTAAATTCACTGCTGAAGCTACAGGTAAATTGTTAATATTATGTTATTAATAATAATAAAAATAATTGTAGGTATTAACAAATCATCTGTTTATAATACTTATAATGGTGAATTTAAACCTCCAAAACATTACCAAAGATCTAAAAAAGTGCTTGATGAAATTACGGATCAACATAAGAGCACGATTCGACGAATTGTTCAGAGTTTATTTTTACTAAATGAGCTTGTAACGGTTCAGAAAATTATGCAAAAAATTTCAGAAAACACGAACATTCCAAATTTAAAGGAAACTACTGTGAAAAAAATTTTGAAATTAATTAATTTTCGGTGAGTACAATTTTAATACCAACTAACTAATATTAAATCTCATATAAATAATAATAAACTGGCTAAAATTCTCTCTCTAATAATAAAACTTTTATCTGAAATGATTCATTCTTATTTTAGGTTTAAGAAAAGATGTCGAAATAGTGTTTTAAAGAAAAAAAGTGAAATTATATCATGGAGGTGACGATACTTGCAATCCATAAGACAATATATGCAGGAAGACCGTACTATTTATTATTTGAATGAAACTTGGGTGAGCGCTGGTCATACTGTTGACATAGTGTGGGCTGACATGTCAATCATCAGTGCTCAACAAGCATATGTTGAAGGCCTTTCTACAGGATTTAAACATCCTTCTGGGAAAGGCAAACGACTTATTGTTTTACATATCGGATCTAAAAATGGATTTGTGGAAAACGGACTACTTTTGTTTGAATCCAAAAAAATAACGACTACCATGAAGACATGAAATCCAACCTTTTTGAAGAGTGGCTGAAAAGGGTTTTGCCAACTTTAGCTAAAACGGCAGTTATTGTCCTAGATAATGTGTCCTACCCGAGCAGAAAAATGAAAAGATACCAACTAGTGCTATGCGAAAAGCTAATATTCAAAAATGATTGCGACAAAAAAATATTATATTTACTGATGACATGGTCAAAGCTGAGTTACTAACGCTAGTAAAAAATCATCCCATGGAACAAAAGTATGTGGTAGATGAAACTATTAAATCTTCAGGTAGATGTGTGCGTAAATTGCTTCGTTAGCACTGCGAGCTAAACCCCATTGGAGCTAATCTGGGCACAAGTAAAGGGTGAATTTTTCAGCTAAGCACTGAATAATGTTATATCGGATTCCTGGAAAAATGCTATCAACGATCACATCAAAGATGTGGAAACTAGATTTTATTGTAGAACAGTAGTTAGAACCACTGATTATTAATTTAGGTGACGACGAATCCCAGGACACAAATAGTAATAATTTATTAATTAAGAATAAAAGTAACATCTTTTTGTCATATTTAATTTTTTTTATTTAAAACGCCCAACTTGAAAAAAATTCCAATTCAGTCGAATTCGGACAAAGGCTGAAAAACAATACCTGAAATCCGAGACTTTTCAATGAAAATCGGGCCATTTTTTTTAAATATAGAACTTTAATATCATCATTTTATTGATTATTTAACTTACATTATTTGCGGCTTCAAACTGATTTCCGACATAAAATAAATTTTTACATAAAATCATATTGCAACGCAACAGATTTGATTTTGGTTCAAAGCATGTAATGGTTTGGGAATTAATCATTCGATGGGATTCATTTTAAATAGCGCGAACGAAATCAAAAAGTTTGTTTACTTAAAATGGTTGACAAAACCGAAAAAACAAACATTCATCAGTAATCATTACATCGTTGTATGCAGCATGCCTCGTAATACAGATGATTCATGTGTATACATGAATTGTTATTGTTTTTGAATCGTCTTTTCAGAAGACGATAATTAAAATACAGAAATTTCAATTTGATATGATTTTTCATACTACATCAATCAATAATAAATTGTAAATATCATAAATCCATTATTACAGTGACAAATAGGATTATGTTTTAAATACGTATATTATGGGTTTTACCGCATTCACTGCGATAATTGTATCCCTCTTCTTGACCTAGTGTAAATCGAACTTGTGACATTGGGGACTGTAACTCGTAACCAGCGCATGGCGTTCACGTGATAATTCTATCTGTTTAGCGGCCCAACTATGTAATTTTGCCTGTTGCATGCGCGGGGGATCCAAGCAATTGCTATCTACAGTCACTCTTAATCTACCTTAAATTTTTAAAATAATAAACTTGGCATTTAACGCAAGTAAATATAAAGTATGATCTGGTACTCTTCTGACTCTCATGATCATTTTTTTATTATATCCTATATATATATATATATATATATATATATATATATATATATATATATATATATTTGATGGCACGCTATATACATTATATGTACTACACGTATCACGTCGCAGAGGCCTTCTTTAAGTCAATAAATCAAAATTTGTCTTATAGTATATCTATTTTTATTCATAGTGCCATATGATATCTCGTATGTCGCTATAAGTTCAATAATAATGCAGATATTTTGTAGTGCCCTTTTGGTAGTCTGTTTTTTCCATCTTAATATTTTCGCCATATCGTCCCCTTTCATTTAATACATTACACGCTCCAATCGGACCAATATCAACGGAGATATGGTGTTTTGCCTTTTGGTAATGCCGCCATGTGTTTTTCTGTCTAACATATTGGCTACCCACTCTTCTTTCTAATGATGTATTTTACGTCACGATCCGACTAACTATTCTACACCCACCACAAAACACTAAAAAAATATTTGAATCATCAATAGGGCTGTTCATCCCAAAAGAGTGTCAGCCATTATTTCCGTACAGTGTTTTGTACAACAAATATGTCAGGTTAGGTTAGTAATATAAAATAACAATAATGTGCATGTGAACACATAATTAGGATAAAAATATCAAAAAAATTAGTTATTGAAAAAAAAATCTAATATAAAGAAAAAAGTGCCTCAATTAGCAAATTTTTTAATCGATTATTATTATGGTACCTTGTCGCCAATTCTTTTTAATGCCTACTCCGAAGAGATCCTGAAAAACGGTCTTGAGGGTAAAACAGCTGGAATAAAGGTAAATGGAGCTCCCATTAACAACATTAGATATGCGGACGACACTGTGATCTTAGCAGAAAACATTAAGACCTTCAGAGTACGAGTATGATCTAACAATGAATGTCAAGAAGACGAAATTTATGAGAATATCGTAAACTCAAAGAAATAATGGGAATCTTCTATTAAACGGAACCAACGTAGAACAAGTGGACAAATTTGCATATCTGGGAACAATGATTAACTCCACAAATGATTACATTCAGGGGATCAAACTAAGAATAGAAAAGGTTACAGCAAATTTCAACAAAATGAAAAGAGTGCTATGTACCAGGGATTTAAAACTGGAACTAAGAGTTAGGTAGGCAAGATGCTATGTTTTTTCGACTTTATTTTATGGAATGGAATCTTGGACCTTGAATGCGACATCAATGAAAAAACTGGAATCATTCGAGCTGTGGGTGTATAGAAGAATTCTAATAATGATGAATGGTGAATTCTAAGGATGAATAAAGAAATGGAAATTTTAAATGCAATTAAAACAAGAAAATTAGAATATCTCGGATATATTACACGTGGAGAGAAATACACTTTGCTTCAACTGATTATGCAGGGAAAGATCCAAGGAAAGAGAAGCATAGGGAGGCCTTGAATGTCATGGATGCGCAACCTGAGAGAGTGGTACGGACGTACATCAAATGAACTTCAGAGCAGCCGTCTCAAAAGTCCGAATAACTATGATGATTGCAGACCTCCGCCGTGGAGATGGCACTTGACGAAGAAGATTATGGTATCTGTACAAAAAAGGAACAACGAAGCGATGTCGTTAATGAAGTATCTATACAGTTGTGTCAAGTAAAAAACTAACTTAATTGGCCTCTAAGAATTATAATTAAGTACACCACTTCTTTAGAACTTTATATTTTGTATTTACTATTAATAATCATCAAAACTAAAATTAGGTTAGATAAAAAAATGAATTTAACCTACCTCACTCCAATCACTTCGACCTAATGAATTGATAGCTGCCACTCTGAACTTGTATGCAGTACCCGGTTCGAGATTAAAGCCTGCGGGGTAATTTACAGTAGAAGGCAAAGTGTCCAAGGTCAGATCAGCAGTGTCTTCATTTAACAAAAAATAACTCTTTACATCACAACTATTTCCTCGAATGAAACCAACAGTATACCACGTGTCTTTAAGAGGCACTTCAGGATCATGGGCATTATTTTCAGCCAAAGCAGCAGAAGCTAATGCTGCTAAAGGATCATCGTCAGGGGCAAGAATTCCTTTTTTCACTTCAGTAGCCATTTCATCTGTTTTTAAAATTTTGTTATTTTGACTGTAATTGTGATAATCTGGATCAACTGATGGTTCTTTTTTAACGTCTGTTTCCATTCTCACTGAGTCACTGGAAGTGCATTCGCCTAAATCTTCTTTTTTAACTTCAGTCTCCATATCTACCTCCGACTTCGTCTCATTTTCTTCTGGAGATTTTGTGATACTTGATTCGATCTGACTAGACTGTTCAGATTTTACTTCAGCTTCCAAATTAACTGGTTCGTTTTCTAGTTTTTTATCAGCTTCCACATTGTTTTCACTTTCCAATCTTTCTTCGAGTTCTAATTTGTTTTCACTTGTCTCAGCTTCCAAGTTGTCTTTGCTGTCTGATTGTTCTTCAGCTTCTAATCTCATGTCAATGTCTGTTCCTACATCAGCTTCCGATTCGGCCTCAATTTTTTTAATTTCATCTGGTTTTGCTTCAGCTTCCGATTTTGTTTCCGAGTCTGATTTTACCTCACCGCTTAAGCTTTCTTCAGATTGTTTAGGTGTTGAATCTGACTCCCAGTCCATTTTTACAATTTCAGCATTTGAAGAAGCGGGCGCAATTTCATTAACGGTAGCTTGCGTAGAATCAGCTTCAGCTGTTGTAGTTGAAGGTTTCATTTCTTCATCTACATCATCCACCCCACCTCCATACAATCCTAAACGATACCTATAACAAAATATATACTGCGTAACCTATGTTCCAATTAAATGAATATAATCCTTACCTAAAACTTTTAGGTGGTCTCTGTAATCTAGTACCTCCTTTCAATCCAAGTTGCTGCATAATAGAACCAGATCCTAAGAGTCCTGTTGCAACTTGCATCGGAACAGCAACATTGGATGTACTGCTGCCCTGCGAAAGAACTACGGTTTGTGTAGTATTTTCCTCAGATCCATCTAATTTTCCCATGCCTCCTTTCTCAGGTGCAGGATCTATCAGACCAGCTTCTGCAGCTATGGCAGCAAGGGCTGCATCTGTTGTGGCTGGACTATCAAAGGAAGTCGAAGCTAGTACAAAATTCAACCATTTTATTTAAATTTATGAATAATCTCTGCTTAGAATATTTTCTTGTACACTTGATAAGATCTATTTATATATAATTCTAACAGACCCAACTTACCTATATTTGCATTTGGTTGTTTGGGACGAGAAATTACCATTAATTTTGGTTGATCCCCGCTGTTGGTAGAGTGATTTATTGTTGAACTAATTGGTAGCCGGACAATCTTGCCTACTGCAGCAGACTGATTAGGTTGCACCAGGGTCAGTGTTTTGTTAGTACCTGTCGCCATCTGTACAGTAACTGGTTTCCCTCCGATCATTACCTGTTTCTAAAAAAAAAAACAAAAAAGGTCATTCTCAAAAGGTCTTGCAGATACCAACATAAACACTAACAAATTAAAGAATCAAACTCACATTTTTACATAGATTTAAAATTAGAAGAACACACTGATAATAGGTTGCGAGTCAAAAAGTTGCTGCAAATATTTTAATTCAATTAATAGTAATTAATTTTTGACAAAAATTATACTTCGTTCATTTACTTTTTAAATAAAATAAATGCTGCTCATGACGTATATGCATATTTTTTATACCAAATTAATGTTAATTTTTTTTTCTTAATATGATGGTATAAGTGTGCCTGAGAAAAAATGGTCGAAAATTGGGGTTGCTAGGTGTTAAAAACACGGGGTATTAAAGACAGCTAGCGCTGTCTAATCAGCCACGGCTGATCGTGAAGAGATCTGGCTGAAATCAACCCTCCTGTTGGAAAATACATTCTGTTTCAAAACGTCGCACTAGCAACATGTGTTAATAATATATTTGTAACATTTATTTTTATTTCATTATTACAAACAATTAAGTTTTTTTTTATATATTTACATTTACATAAAAGTAATAAACACTTTCATTTGCGGTTTTGAGTTCTTTACTAAAACCACGGGAAGTAATAACATTAACCAACAAGTAACTGGAAGAATTCGGGATTCCGTTTTCCACTGGACAGTTACCACTAACACTTATGGTCCTTATTGTCGAATGCTTGCTACTTTGGAAACACAAAAATCAAAGGTTAGTGCTTTTCCTTTTACCATTATTTCATTTTTTACATTCTCACATGAGATTTACATTTGATTTGTTACAATTCAGTGAAAAACTACTTCTATCTTAATTTGTTTGTTACTAATCACTATTTCGTACAATACACAAGACATTTATTTGATTATTGTACTTGGTATAAACGCGGTGGTGTAGTATTAGAGTTTTATTCCTTATTTTACATTAAAAGGGAACTAATTTGATTTATTTTTAAATATTACTTGCATTCTGACACTACATCACTCAACATATATATTTTTACATCTTATTTGGATATATTTTGTATCTTGAATAATTTACATACACTTTTGGGTTCTATAACCAATACGGTTAGTCAATTTACGACTCGTAAACACATTATCGTCATTTCTATATCCTTTCTGGATAGATTTGACATATTTTCTTATTTTACAACTTTTGGGTACTCTTTACCAACCGATTCGGCCTTCCAGCTATTCGGGCACGTTTTATAAATAAATAAAGCTACATCTAAAACACTTTACTCGTTTACGCATTTTTCGTGCTATTTCATTACAGTAATCTTATTGCTTTATTTACTTACATTTTCATTTAAGTTCTTCTTCTTCTTTTTATATAGACATGACTCTGTCTGTTTTTCAATGTGCCTCCAGTAAGTTGTCATTCCATCGTTTTCGTGGTCTTCCTACTGATCGTCTTCCTATTGGGAAACCGTCTCTTGCCGTCTTTACTACTCTATTTGTTGTCATTCGGCTTATATGATCGTTCCATTCTACTCTTCTTTTTCTTACCCAGTTTTTGATGTTCTCCACCTTGCATCTATGTCGTATATCTGTACTTCTAGCTCTGTCCCATAGTGTCTTACCATCGATTTTTCTAAGTGTTTTCATCTCTGCTGTTTCTAACATCCTTTTTGTCCTCTCTGTGTCAGGTCTCGGGTCTTTCGAGTCGGGATACTTTTCCATAAACATTTTATGTATTGTAGCAAGAATATACTTTTTCAATACATAGAATAATGAATTTCTTTCAGATCAAACGATTTTGTCTTTTTTTATTTGAAAACAAACCTTGTCTTCAAATTATATCTGGATTTCACAGATTTACCTATTATCTCTTGGAGTGGTATCAGCAGTTGGTAGGTGACATAATCATCACATATACGTTTCACCACACCCAAATAAACTCAAAAAAGCTTTCTTACATACCTTTTTAGGGACTCTCTTCAAACGAAACATGAAACAAAAAGTTATGAGGTCTGTCAATGTGTTTATTGGTTTTCTGAGATTTTCTGCTTCTCTTAATAGGTGTTACTTCTATCATATCTTGTAAATAGAAGCCTTATGAATTAATTAACTCCAGTTTTTCGCGCCGTAACATTTTTCCCGAATGATTAATATATGCATCGCCCTTTATTTTAGCCTTATTAATTATTTCACTTTTATACTTGGAACGATTAATAACGCCCTTCTATCTTTTCATTTGTTTATTTTCAATATTACCCTATTTTCATTTTCAAAACTACTAATTTTGTATAAACGATGCACAACAAAACAAAAATTAAATAAGCTGACTCTGGACTGGTGAGACCACCAACCCGTCACCTCAGCTTTGCGACAGCAGTTAGTTAGCTCCGGAGAAGTGGTCTTTTCGAAGTAAACAGAAAACTTTGCTCGCTTAGAGAGCGCTGGCCTTTTCGAAATAACCAATTTAATTGTCTGATGATCGACATTTGATCAGTGGTAGGTCTGTTCTTTAAAAAGTCTGCTTAGCGGGATTTAATGCAATTATCATCAAAGTGTTAAAGTGGTACGTGAAGTATCAGGGAAAAAACTTAGTATGGAAACCCTCTAAAGTTGGAGCAATCAAACACGTTTCTGTTCTTGTCAAACATGTGTCAATATCTTAAAAACAAGAACGACAGACGTTTGTCCAACAAACAAAAAACAGCACACAAAAGATATTTTTCAAAATTAGAAGATACTTACTGTATTTTTTGACAAAGTCATAGTCTTAGGAGATCCAACAACTTGCATAGGCATTGATATGGTAATAGGTTTGCCAGCAATTTTAACGCCTTGTAGATTTGTTAAAGATGTGGTAGTTACGACTGGTTGGTTATTTACAGAAGTAGTTTTTACATTGCTTAAATTTACAGATTGTGCATTGGTTAATGTTTGTATATTTTTCAAACCGGCATTTGAATTTACAACTAGAACTTGTTGATTACCTGCAAAAGAAAACAAATAAATTATAAGCCTTTTAAACTTTCAAAAAGTTGGAAACAGGAACAAGAAGATTTACAATATACTGCTCGCGATGGGACAGTTTGGAACAAATATCTACCACCTCAGTCACGTGTAAGGTAAGTGGTGGCTCAAGTGCTACACATATTTTCTTACTAAATTTGTGGGTTTTACTAATTGCGTTGTATATTGTTTAGATCCATCAATATACTAAATCCTGTGCCAGGTCCCACCAGATATGCCACTCAACGAATTACCGATGAACCTATATCTTCAATGAGATTGTTTTTCACTGATAAAATGCTCAATTTACTCTTAGTGGAAACTGACAGAGAACATGGTCGCATATGTAATGAAAATATAATTGATGGATTCCACCGTTACTTGATGGAAATTCATTATATGTACCAAAAAAATATACACATTTTTAAATACTCTCCGCATTTTAAAGTTTATTTCATTGAATTTAAAGCAATACCGAGTAATTTAAAATTAATTTTATTCGGCTAGTTTTTTTAAATTGTAGTGTTTAATAAAAACATACTCGCATAGTGCTCAAAAATTTGTTACCTTCCCCTATGGGGACTGGAATTGACTCAAGGACGCTTTTAAGTGCCTCTAACAATATTGTTAGGTCATCTGAAGTAATGGAGCCTGAAGAAAACGTGGTACCGTTAAAAAATAGAGGATTTAACATAAATTCAGATAAGTATAATCTTGAAAATATTTTTGTGTATATTGAAAGGATAGATAACACCGATCTTGGTCGCTTACATCCAATTACAATAGGTCATATTTTGTACAAAAAACTAGGAATTTCTAATATCATTCAAGTAAGGGGAATTGGTAGGAACAGAATTAAGGTAGTAGTAGCTTCTATACACGATGCAAATAGTCTTATAAATAATAGTAAACTAAAGGAAGAAAATTTAAAAGCCTTTATTCCCGATCACTTATTAGAAAGCAAGGGTTTAATTCGGGATATTGATACTCAATTTGATACTGTATATTTACAGGAAAATATTGAATCTCCTTCACGTATCTTAAATATTAAACGAACGCATAGAAAAGTTGAAAAAATGGTACAATTGAGTATGTTGCAAAACGAACTGTTATTGTAGCTTTTGAAGGTAATATACTGCCTCAGTATGTTATTATAAATCGAGTTTTTTGTCCAGTCGAACAATTTGTAGGTAGGGTTACTCAGTGTTATAGGTGTATGAGATACGGTCACATTTCAAAACAGTGTAGAAGTTCTCAAAATCTATGTATTCGATGTGGAGAGAATAAAGACGAAAATCATTCTTGCGAAAATTCAGACATTAGTTGCATTCATTGTAAGAGTACTGCACATGTTTCGGTTTCAAAAAATTGTCCTTCTTACCAAAAACAACAAAAAATTAAAAATATGATTAAAAATAAATTTCCTTTATCGAGGCAAGGAAATTAATGAAAACTCGTATTCAAGCTCTAGCCAAAATAAGTTTTCAATTTATCGAATCGATAAAATTTTCCTATATTACACAAAATAAAATCCTAACATCTGCGCAATCTACTTCTAATGCAGCTACGAGTACCAATTTTAATCCAACTTTTCGCCGAACAATTACTCAGTTCCTAACAAAAAGAGGAAAGCCAATTCTTCTCCTGCTGTATCTTCCAACTCTGTTCAGCCACCTCCCATGTTTTTCAGATTTGGACCATCTCAACCTCTACCTGCTAATCCACCCCGTTCCGCTTCTCACAGTGGAAAAAGGGAGAACCAAGATCGAGCTCGAGCTATGACTAACTTTGTAATTAGTTTTTTAAAAAATATACGTACATTGGACGATTTGAAATCTTTAGATAATGAAATAATAAATCATGAAATTACTTCTATTGGAGGGTACAAAAAAGGTTACATAATTTTCTCTGTCTTAAATAAATTAAAAATCATGCAATGGAATTGTAGATCTGCTGCCGTCGACAAAAACAGTTTAACACATTTTTTAAATGATAATGATATTGATGTTGCCTTGTTGAGTGAGACATGGTTTAAACCCGATAAACAATATAATTTTAGGGGTTATAAGATTATTCGTCGCGACCGATATGACGGTTACGCTGAATTGGCTATACTTATAAAATCAATTCATCTTTTTGAAGAAATTTGTATTACACAAATTTTAATGACGATATACTTGTTTGTGGAATCACTTTAAAATTTAATAACTCTGATATTAATTTTGCTTCAATTTATAGACCTCCAGATATTCGATCGACTTCCAAAGATTGGTGTAAAATTTTGGAACAATTTAATTTTCCTTGCATTATAGGTGGTGATATGAACGCGCCTATTTTTTAATTTGTTAATTTCCATAGATTCTAAGCTGTCTTTGTTAGAATAAGTCGTACCCATAGACAAAGAATGTAACACTTACTTCGGGTGAGTAGGAAGGTTAAGTGGGGAACTAAGGAACCCCACTAAACATGTTTATGCTGGAATTTGAAAATAAAGAAAGCATTGACAGAATTTTAGGAATATGGTTAACAATATCTTAGCAATAAGGAATTAAAGTTACCATTGATGCAATCAAGAACTCAAAATTGATTTCTCGGAGAAAAAAAAAGGCTATGGACACACAAGGCACTATTGGACTAAACCGGCTAGATGTGTCAAATGTGCCAGTAAACACCCCACAAGCGAATGTACAAAACCCGTAAACCAGAAACCTAAATGCGTTCTCTGTGGAGAGCTTCACTCTGCTAACTATACTACTATAAAGTGGCACTATAAAAATGACACGAGCCGTTCATCGTGTTTCGGAGCGCATGTAAAGACGCCGGTCCCATTGGGCTAGTATGCATCAACATTAGCTACTTGAAACCTGGTTAAAGATGTAATTGGCGTTAGAATCTGGCCAAAAGGATCTTCCCGATAAACATGCCATACAATATTATTATTACCACTGTCTCCGTTCACTTGACTGGTCTCTCTAATTCTTCATTTAAAAAACTCTCAAATTTCATTTTCCATTACTTTCTGATATCCTTTTCGTGAACTGACCGAACTCCAGAGGACCGAAGACGTGTCGTTGTTGAAAGTCTAACTACACATAAGGTAACAGATTTGTATATACTAACCTGAGTAATTATAATAGTACAACTGTCAGTTCTTCACTCTCTTGCTTCTCGTCTCCCGGCGCGCCGAATGACTTATTAACGATTGTATTTGTAAACTACAGGGTACATTCAATATATTGTAGACTCTAATTTGGTTTTAATGATCCTTTCGGCCGATTCAGACAGAGACTAGGAGAGTACAGGAGTCTGCTTATGCATATCTCCGGCTTCAAAAGTAAGCCCATAACCTCAGCTCTTTACAGGACCTGAGACCTAGGAGTCCTTACCCCTATCCCGAAAATCCCTTATCTTCTCGTAAATCCACGAAGACGAACCAGTCAGTTCGGACCAGTGGGGCCAGCAAGCCTTGCAGCCGCTCGCAGGGTTAGCATCCTTTGAGGGTCTATAAAGTATTTCAGTGGTGACAGCGGAGTCGCGCTCCTGTATTACATCTGGTGACAGCCAGAAAACGTGTGTATTACATCTGGTGACAGCCAGAAAGTGTGCGTATTACACCAGTATTTTATTATTTTCATCTAGGATACACCTAATCTGATTAAAATCTTTAGCTGTATTTGCTCTGGACATTTTATATAGTAAACAGTATGGAGACAGTGATCATCAAAATAACAAAACGAATGTATGTGGCGGAAATAAGAATGCTTAGATGAATGAGTGGATTAACAAAAAGGATAAAATTAAGAATAAGTATATTAGGGGAAGTCTAGGATTTGCACCAATTGATACCAAAACATGGGTTAAGATTGATCGGGCATGTTCAATGTCGAGACGCTACATCACCAATATGAAGAATTGCTGATTGTCAATATGAAGTTGCTGGAAGCCTGGAAGGATTAGAAAAGGAAAACCAAAAGAAGACCTGGGGAGACGCTTAGGCACTACATATCGGTAAAGAGGGTTGATATTGGTATGACCCAAGATATAAACTGATGGGAGAAATATAATTAGGAAAGCTGAGTGTTCAATCACAAATTAGTCCATTAATTTGTAATCTCACATTAATCTTAATTTCTTGAATTTGTATAGTTTCACCGTGTATAATTGTGAAACATATCAATTAGTAGCATAATTAGTTTGTTTAACTTCCTGCAAACTATTGCCTAATGTTTTATTGAGGACATGCCTGCAATCTTTTCCTCGGATAAAATATAATTTAAAACTATATTTTATCATCGTCGATCGAGAAGAAGCGGACAAGGAGAATTAGAAACAATTCGAACTTATAATTACATTAGAATTTGTCCACTGACCCCGCATAAGGATAACGGCGAAGAGAATGGTGATAATCTAGGAAAAAGAATAGGTTACTTACCGATTGTAGGAATCTGTCCCATAGTTTTCAGAGGAACTAATTTCCCAGTTGCCTTATCTAAATGGTATGGAATCGTTTTTATAGATGTTTGAACTTTATTGGCTGCCGTAGTTGGTATAATTTTTACAATGGTATTTTTGGGAGATTGAGGTAAAACATTTGGTTTTGCCTGAACCATGTTGCTTCCTTTTGGTAGTGTCGCTAACGTCATGCCTATGGGGAAAAATACCATTATTCGCGTTTTTTATGGTTTATTTGGGTTAGTTATATAAAAATTTTAGTACACTTACTACAATTTTATCTATTATACATACACATACATTCAAAAGTATTACAAGACTCTTTAAGGACAGGTAACCGGGTAGCACCGATAAGCGATCTGACCAATTTACTTGTTTTAATATGCGAATAGTGTTCAATGAAATACTCATTATTCAAGTGTTTTTGAGAGAAGGAATTTGTTAAAGATTATTTGCGATTTGTTTTCTTAGGCTTTAGTTGTTTTAAATACCAATAAAGCATATGAAAATTTTCTTTGCTTTCATTTGATTTAAATGTTCATAAAACTTGTTACACTTAACGTTTTGTATAATCTTTGATAATAGAGATACTGAGATGATATTTTTTACGCAAATATTGGGAATATCTAAAGCTATCTCGCAATATTAATAAGATGTAGCGTTTGTTTCTAATATATTTCAGAGGGTGTTGCAAAATAAGATTAAAAACAACTTTATTTTTACTGTATATGGGTAAAATTTTCGCGACAAGTACAGTAATTCCTTATAAACAAACCTAATTAAAATAAAAAATATTTATTACTTAATATTTTGCGGAAATGTATAATGATCTACTTTGTCTCCTGATATGAACTTTACAGAACATGTTTGAGATAGACTTTCTAGGACAATTCGAGCTCAAAGAAATTTTTTAAAAAATTCGAGACGTTTATTGTAGTTATTACTAAAGGAATGACAGACAATTCGTTAAGAACTGATGACAAGCCTTGTTACAGAATGCAGAGGAACAGGAGTGAACATACAGGGTTTTTCAAAAAGGTATGTCATAAATTATATATTAATATGTCATAATTATACCTTAGTACAAAAGTGTACACAAAAAAAGTTAAAGCCCTTTGAAGTTACAAAATAATTTTTTTTTGCATTATCTCCAAAACTAATACATTATGTAATAAAAATGGACACGTTACTTTCTTGTTCTGATTTCAGAACACAAAAGAAACAACAAAATCTAAGCCCATAGAAAAATTTTAAGGGGGTGTGCAGCCCTAAATCCCATCAAACTTTTGAGTACGTTCAAATAAAATGAATTTTGTGGCATCATTAGTTTAACACATTATTTTTAAAACTTTTTTGCCTCTTCTCACTTTTTCGAAAAACTAGTTTTTCCTAGTTGGCCATAAAATTACAATTAGTTTCTACGGATACAATAATTACAAACAATTCCATCAATAATAGTCAATAATTTGAAGCTATCATTTATTGAATGAATAAGATTAATATTAAAAATTTTGATATTACAATGGCCTACACATTGAAATTATGATTTCAATAAACTATCGGGAATATCGTAGGTGAATGTCAAGAAAATAGTGCAGCAGCCGCAAGGCGTTATGGAGTAAAATACCCCAATCGAAATACACCCGATAGACGATTATTTCTGACCATTGATCGTCGTTTACGGGAAACGGGTACATTCCAACCGCAAGTTGCTGGCAAGAGTGGTCGTCCAATAATGGATGCAACTGATGAAGGCATTTTAGAAATCATTGAAGAAGTCCCTGGAACAAGTACAAGGGTAATAGCTGCTTAACTAAATGTTCCTCGCGTAAGGGTTTTGAGGCTTTGAAGATCGTGCTTAACTTCTTTGGTTTAAAGATTATCCTAAAAGGAGTGGATTTTGCGATAGTTGTTAATGGAAAACAGTCGAAATGTTAATTTTATTAGAAATATTTTGTTTACCGAGGTTTACCTTCAGTAGAAATAGAATAACAAACCATCAAAACAAGCACATTTGGGCCGACCAAAAACCTCATGCCAAAAAAAAACGACACATCACCAAAAGACTTTCGAAGTTAATGTTTGGGCAGGAATTGTGGATAACAATCTAATAGGTCCAGTATTTCTTCCCAACAATTTAAATGGTGATAATTATTTGCAGTTCTTGACAAACGATTTACAAGAGTATTTGGAAGAAGTAAATATTGCAATAAGGCATAATATGTGTTTTATACAAGATGGCACTCCACCACATTACAGTAATGAAGTCCGGGAATACTTTTGCAGGCAGTATCCAGGTCGGTCCATTGGAAGGGGTCGTGACGCACTTATTTCTTGGCCACCCAGTAGCCCAGGTCTTAACCCCATGGACTTTTCCTTTTGGGATTTTACGAAAGAGAAAGTGTATTCTGTAACAATAGAGGACGAGCAACAATTGAGGGTTAGAATAATTGAAGCTGCAAATCAATTTCGTCAGAAAATATGATTTTTCAGCGCATTCGGTCTTCCTTATTAAAACGATACCGAATGTGTATTGAAGAAAATGGCGGTCATTTTGAACATTTATTGTAATATCATATTTATATAGGTTATAGACATTTTTTGTACTTGTTAATTCATTTAAGTCATTTATTTAGTTGCACGTAATTTTTTAAAGGTTAATGAAAAGGGCAGTAACTCAATAATAACTGTTTTTTTGAAAAAAGTGATAAGAGGCAAATTAAAAAAAATAATGTGTTAAACTAATGATGCCATAAAATTCATTTGATTTGAACGTACTCAAAAGTTTGGGAGGATTTAGGGCTGCACACCCCCCTTAGATTTTGTTGTTTCTTTTTTATGAAAAATGCTTTCAGAACAAGAAAGTAACGTGTCCGTTTTTATTACAAAATGTCAAGTATTGTAGGAGATAACGCAAAAAAATAATTTTTATTTTGTAACTTCAAAGGACTGTAACTTTTTTTGTGTACACTTTTGTACTAAGGTAAGTTGGATTCAATCAATTTATTTTTGTCCCCGGAATGCGTGATTTAATTTATGATATTCCTTTTTGAAACACCCTGTACACACTACTAAATATTTTTCTTTTTTTACATTTTTAATTCTCTCTATGTAAAGCCTATTATTCGGGCAGTAGGTAGTGGACTTAGTCATCTCCTTCTAATTGTTTGCAAACCATTAATTAACTGAAAATTGGTTTGTAATTGACATATATCAACCCTTTTTGCATGAAGCTGGATTATGTAAAACTTTTGAATATATGTGGTTGGGTGTCCAAACGGAATTTTATAGTTCTATCTTACCTGTACTAGTTTTGACAAAAGTTACAACTTGCTGTGGAGCTCCTCCCTTTTGAATAATATTGCCTCCTTGTTTCATTATTAATTGTTTGCCTGCTACTTGAGGACTGCCTTCTCTGATAATAGTTCCTGCAGTACCTTGAATCTTGACTGGTCCTAAAAAAATCATTATATATATATATATATATATATATATATATATATATATATATATATATATATATATATATATTTATGAAGAAACAAGAAGTCGAGAGAATTCACATCGGTTCCGATTTGAGCAAACTGCCAATGAAAATTTACTGGAAGCTATTGGATGATAATAGGAATAACATTTTATTCTGACATTATATCTACAGTTTACTCTCACACTCTTTACGTAAAGTAAAGACGTTAAAATGAGAATGCATTGAATTGTTTAATTCAAGTTCCACCATTCTCCTACACATGCTTTAAGGTTTCTCCTATTGTCAGGGAGACTTGTGAGAACTCAAGTTGAACTGAAATGCTGTTTATCTATATGGCCCTTATAGTATTGCAATCTTTATTTTAATTTATTTAAAAGTCTTCAAACACTAACACTAAAACACAATTAATTTATAACATTTATTTATGTAACCCCACAATTAATTATTTTAGACTAAATTCTAAAATATAATTTTCTTAGTTGCTTCAGTCGTTTGAGAACCCTGCGGAAGTCTCTCGACATTAGACCAGTGAGTGGTAGAGGTAATGGATTTTAACAAGAGCCATGAGTCATGCCGATTCAGTACACAAGTTTACCTGATATTTTCAAGGTCATAGCTCTTGTCAAAATCCATTACTTCTATCACTCGATAGAACGCCAAAATGTTATATCAGGGGTGTGGCATTGGGGCTCGCACAATAGTACTATACAGCATATAATAGTATACATGGACACGCTATATGTTCTAGCAGTGAGCACAGTTAGTACTAATGCAAATATTTTATTAAAACTAATCTACAAATTCGTTTTCTTCCTTTTTTGGTTTTTCTAAATTGTAAAAGATAATTATTTGAAGCGATATTCAAAATTTCTTTAAATTAGTCAAAAAAGGCAAAAGTGTCATGTATGTATTAGGGAGAGCGCCCACCAAACTGGCGTGGGAAGTGGCAAGTAGCACGCGTCTAGCATGTTAATTAAAATGTAACCAATGAAAACGAATGATTCAGCGCACACCAAAATGACAATGACGTCATTCATTCTAATCATTCGTTTGCATTGGTTACATTTTAAGTAACATGCTAGACGCATGCTACTTGCTTCTTGCCACTTGCCACGCCAGTTTGGTGGGCGCTCTCACTTATATGTCTTACCTCTTGCAGCAATGGGTGAAATAATTTTAGGTGAATGAACCTGGTTAGTACTTGTAGTTGTTTTAATAGTTGGTGCCGGCTGAAGTGAACTGGTTTGAACTGGAGCACTTGCCTTTGGTACAGCTGCCAACGCTGGAATTACTGGTGCAGTGGTAGCTGGAATTTTCGATGCAGCAGGTGGAGGTAAATCATATTTTTGTATCTACAAAAGAACGCCAATGAATATAAATTTCAAGAATAAAACATCAACTGATGAACGAGTAAAAAGAGCATTCACGCCAAAAATAAAGTAAAAAATACTTTACCTTTACAATATAAAAGCGTACTAATATAATTTAGAGAAACATTGCTGGTACCGTTCAACTTAAAAGGTTTGAAAATAAAAAAAATAGATATAGCAGATAAAACAAAATTTCTAAGACAGACGAGTATGGAAATCCATATGAAGAAGTCGACACTTTAGCGGGGTAGATAAGGCTGTAGAAAAAAGCCAAACATATATTTTAATCAAATTAGACATCCTAGAAGAAAACATTAAAATACTATTTCATAAAAATGTGTCTAAAACAAATATTTTTTGATAGTCTTTAATAGAGAAGCAGTTGAACTATTAGTAAGGATGTCTCTCAATTAAAAAATAAATAGAAATAGATGGCGGATTTTTGTTACAGAACTTTCAAAAAAATATTTAATGAATACTTCAGTTATGTTTCTCGGTATTATTCTTCATCTAGCTGTATTGTTTTTGATCGCTATACAGAAAATTTGAGTGTACTAAAATAGCTGAGCGTCTTCCGACAATAAAGCAGCAATTTTTGTAGCTGAAGATATTGATACCTTGGTTAGCTCCTGTCAAATTGTGGCTTACAAATAAAAATATATACTTTTGGAAACTTCTTCTTCCTCTTTATAAGCAATTTTGCTTCTTCATTGGCGGATTAATACCTCTATAAAACGTTGTCCGATACTTCTTTTGCCGATTGGTGACTTGTCTCTTGCTATTTTGACGACACGGGTTTCCTCCATTCTGCTTATGTGGTTATTCCAATCTTTTTTTCTATTTTGTGTCCATTCATTTACACCCTGTACGCTACATTTTCTTCTAATGTCTTCACTTATCTTTCGATCTCTGAGACTATTTCTCTATATTTTTCGATTTCTCTTTTTGGTCTACATAAACGACCTTCCAAATGCGGTGGTTAGTAGTTCCTCAAACCTTGTAAATTTCGCTGATGACTCAAATGTGCTTTTCTGGGAAAAAATTTTAGAAACACTCCACACAGTGGCAGAGCAAATTCTAAGCAAGGCTGAACAGTGGTTCAGTGGAAATCGGTTGTTGCTTAATACTGATAAGACAGTTTTTGTCTACTTTAGAACCAGCCAGTCACGAGAACAGTTTCCAGATACAATTAATTTTCTATCAGAAAACACGGAACCTGCTAGATCAGTTAAATTTCTTGGTATTCATATTGACCAGAATCTGAATTGGGGGGAACAAATACAAAATACAACAAAAAAACTGAATAGAGCCTGCTACTCATTAAGAGTGTTAAAGAGCTATCTAGACCAGGGGATTTTACTATCAGTATATTATGCAAACTTTTATTCTGTTATGCGATATGGAGTAATCTTCTGGGGTGCTGCAGTAGATAGCTCAACTGTCTTTATAGTCCAAAAAAGGCAGTCCGGGTGATCTTAGGACTAAAGGCAGGAGAATCCTGTAGAGGCCGATTCAAGTCACTCAATATACTCACTTTCTCAGCCATCTATATATTTGAATGTATTATGTTCCTTTTTAAAAATTTTTCTTTGTTTTATCACCTGCTTCCCAATCATGAATATAATACAAGAAGCCTTAATTTGAATTTGCCACTTCACAGATTGTCTATAACAGAGAGAAGTCCTTTGTATGCGTGTGTTAAATTTTATAATAGTCTACCATCTGACATTAAACAGGAAACACACTATAGAGCTTTTAAAAGAAAGGTTTTTCAACACCTAGTTGACATTGAGCCGTATACTGTGGCGGAGTGCCTGGCCTATCCTTCTCCTTGATCAGCATATTTAATTTGTAATGTTAATATATTTTAAATGTGTGATGTCAATATATATTTTTTTAATCTGTAATTAATAATGTGACGTTATTTGCTCAATTATGTTTAAAAATTTATGCAAATAAAAATTTACTCTACTCTATTTCCTGTAATTGTTCTCAGTATTCTCATCTCTGCTGATTCCAGTAGCCTTTGCGTTGTGGCTGTGTCGGTCTTGTTTCTGAGGCATATGTCATTATTGGTCTTACACAGGCTTTATAAATTCTTGACTTCATCTCAGTGTTAATGTGTCTGTTTCACCAAATCCTATCCTGCCAGTCTATCTGCTTTTTGTACTTGATCTCTCACTTCTTTGTCCAGGTCTCCATAGCTGGACAGTGAAATTCTCAGGTATTTTATTTCCATTACTTGTTCAATACCGATGCCATCAATTTTTATTTTACATCTGGTTGGTTCTTTACTGACTACTAATGCTTTAGTTTTCTGAGATGAGAATGTCATATTAAATTCTTTTGCTCTTATGTTATGTTTTTGAAAATTAGTATACAATAAGTTTAAGGTCATTAGTTGGATGATGTCATAAACTGGATGAGACCCATGAGGAGCAGAGAAGAGGCCCATGTTCAGCAGTAAACTTTTGAGACTGGATGATGATGAAGAGTTGGATTTATGCATGATTTTTCCGGATGCGACATCACATTAGCTTTTCATTATCAAGGAAAGCAAAATAGTATCAAATTACTTTCTGGTGATACTCATATTCACAAAGTGAGGCGACCACTTTAGCAATCCAAATGCTTCACAGGAGCAAATAAAAAATGCAGGTTTTAAAATATTAGCTGCTTTGTATATAGGTAAAAGTTCTAAAATTGAATAGAATACTCTCCGATGTTTGTTTAAGATGCCAGATGCTAGATGTCTGCAGCAGAACAACACTTTTATAGAGTATAATATACCAAAACAAATTAGATCACAAAATTATTTTGAAAAAATTATTAAATCGATTTTAATGAAATTTTGTGTGATGATTAAACATATTAAAGATTTTCTTTCTCGGAATATGCAAGGTTAGAAGTTAGTTTAGTCTAGAAAATAAACTCACAAAAAAGTCTTTTTTTTTAACTGTTTTCTTTGTGTTTTTTAGTATTTTTTCAATAATAATAATTCGTAAGGTTTATATATGTATATTTTATTATATTGTGGATGCACATACATTAGAATATTTGCATATGCTGATTTACTGTGCAGCAACAGCAATTGCTAATGTTATGGCATTAAGATCAGAAAACGACGGGGAACTAATATCGGAAGGACTGAAAACAGAATTGCACCCTGCAGGGAGTGCAGTATTGCGCAGGGATATTGGTCAAATTACGGAATACATCCGAGGAGTAAGAAGTCGAAAAGTAATTAAAAAAGCTGAAGAAATTATTCTGATACTTCAAGACACTCACAACATGATCCAGAAAAGAACACAGCTCAACACTGCCTAGACACATTAAAACAAAAACTCTCCGTTTATTCAAGTCGCCTAAGGAGATACAATGTTAGTAACAAACGTAAATGCGACAACATACTTTTTGAGTATGCAGAGAAGGCTTTCTATAGGAAACTGAATTCCACTGTAGAAATTGTAAATAAATTCTACCTAAGCCAAGAAGAATTTCATGAGTTTTGGGAAACCAACTTTCGACGCCAGCTACTCATAACAACAATGCTGGATGGATTGAAGACACAACGAACAACTGTCAACACTACAGGAATATTCCTTATGAACCTTTCACCAGTGAAGAAGTCTCGAACATTATCAAAGAGCTTCATAACTGGAAATCTCCTGGACCAGACGGAGTTCAAAACTTCTGGCTAAAGAAGTTTTGGAGTGTTCATGAGCTTTTAACAGTATTTATTAATAATATTTCTAATTCACAGGAAATACCACCATTTCTTACTCAGGGAACCACTTATCTAATACCGAAGGATCAAAATAACACCCAAGATAAAGCCAAGTATCGCCCAATTACTGTGTTCTGAACAATATCATAGAGCCTCAACAGAAAGGATGCGCTAAGGGCTTCATGGGCTGCAAAGAACAACTTATTATCGACTCAGTCATTTCTAACCAGGCATACACCAAAAAAAAACCTTTTTACTGCCTTCATTGACTACAAGAAGGCTTTTGATTCAGTGCCGCATGAATGGCTTATAGATGTACTGAAAATATATAAAGTCGATGATAATCTCGTGACTTTTTTGAAGCATATAATGTCAGAGTGGAAGACTAAAATTCACCTACAAATACCTGGTGAAACCAATATCGAAACTGAAGATATCCCTATTAACCGGGCCTTTCCAGGGGACTCGTTGAATCCACTTTGGTTCTGTCTAGCGATGAACCCACTATCTCAGCTACTGAACTCCACTGACTCAGGTTTTAGCATCAAAAATAACAATACTGTTGTGGCGAAGCTTAATCATCTGTTGTATATGGATGATTTGAAATTAATGGCTTCCACTCGAAACCACTTAAATCAGATGTTAAAAACTGTAGAAACTTTTTCAAATGATATCAGTATGCATTTTGGACTAGACAAGTGCCGTATACTAAATATAGTCAGAGGAAAGGTTCAGCCCGGAGGTTTCGATATGCAAGATGGCCAAAACATCGAGACAATGGGTGAAAATGATATGTATAAATATCTCGGAGTAAAGCAAGCGCGGAAAATTGACCATAAACAAATGAAAACCGAACTAATTTCGGAGTTCGTACAAGAGTAAGACAACTAAATCGGTCATATCCTAACACCAAAAATGTGTTTAAGGCATTAAATACGTACGCCTGTTCCCCGCTGAGCTACTCATTTGGTATTATAAAGTGGTCAAAAACAGATATAGATGATTACTTTCAGCGGAAAGTAAGAACACTTCTCACAAAGGCGCAAAAACATCATCCACGTTGTGCAGTAGAAAAAACAACATTACCCCGGTATCAAGGGAGGACGTAGGTGAGCAACTGTATAAATAGGTTACTAATTTAAGAACTTATTTTCTTAAACGTGACTTATTGCATCTGACTAAGCAAGAAAAAATGCGCACCTGAAAATGACAACTAAAAGCTATATTGGGAGCGCACTGTGCTTACAGACCAACCAGTGGCATATAATAGACCCGATCTCATACTAGTTAATAAAATTACTAGGTAAGCAACACTTATTAATGTGGCGATACCCAACAGTTATAATTTACGTGTTAAATACAACGAAAATATTGCCACGTACTGAGATCTAGAAATACAAATCAGACGACAATGGAGAATGGAAAGTGTCCAGACAGTACCGATTATTCTATCTACTGCTGGTGTTATTCCCAAAAACCTTCTAGAGAACATAAAACAGCTGGGTCTAAATGAACATCTCCATAAGGCCCTGCAGAAAGCTGTACTCCTCGTGATGTCCAGATGTGTACGAAAATTTTTGGGAGGTACTCCAACATACCAAGTCACCTAAGGCTCGATAACCTTAGAGCTCAATGCTTTTGACACCTTAGGTATCGGGGGTGGGTGAATTTTTCCCTTAGAGGGAGTGTGAGCCGTATGGCTAAATCTGGATTTGTAAGGTTTAAACTAGCATTGACGTATGTAAAATTTAATTATAAAACATATTTATATCCTATACAAAATTATTCCAAAACTAATAGTTCTTGAGATATATGCAAGAAAAATAGGAAAAATATCGAATTTTTTAAATGTTCATATTTTGTTTAATAAAAAGCATAATAAAAACAATTCATTTAAGTCTTTATAATATAAAAGGGAACCACTGAATTATTATGAATATTACCTGTAAGATGTATGTCTGCACAGATAGTGCTCCCGTCCAATTGACTTCAAGGGTATGTGTTCCTGCTTTAACTAAAGATACACGACTAGGAGCAGGAGGTTTATCTACATCTAAATACCACAAATCTTTGCAGCACACCTAAAATATATAGCATCATTCAATAACTATTTATGGATAATTGTGGAAGCTATTACCTGATTTTTCCAAGCTTTTCTATATCCATCTCGACCAGACCAAACATACAACCTTGTACTAATTCCCACTGCACAGTGGCCTGCTCTGGCACAAGGTAGAACAGCTTGTTGGATATTTATTTCATCCCAGCTCATTGTTTCTAAGTTGAGACATGCCAAAGTATTTGTACACTTCCATGCTGTTTCAATGGCGTTTATATCTTTAGAAAGAGTTGAAGGAACCCATCCCCCAAAAACAAACATTTTATGGCCAATTAATGTGGAAGTATGCAGAGATCTAGGTAGAGGTGTAATTCCTGAAACTTGGGGTTTCACCCAAGTCATTGTCTCTGTTTCCAGAAACCACAAATCACCTAACCTGCACCCACTCATACCTCCATATATAATTAAAAAAGAGTTCTGGTTTTTATCCACATATGCTACAGCAGTATGAGATTCTCTTGGAGTGGGAGCTGGTCCATTTGTTTGGGGAATATTCCATTGCATAGGGTTACTTTTAATATCTAATGTAAAAAGATCATTCAAATATCTTGGAATATTGTTTTTGGGATCTGTACTATCATTTGCTAATCCTCCAAAGAGATACACTTTTGAATTAACTACAGTAAAACTATGTCCTAATCTTGGACAGGGGAGAGTGCCAAATTTTGGTTCCTTTGGCTTAAGCTTCTTCCATTCCCATTTTGCAGCCTGAAGTAAAAAATATACAGATTAACTATCATTAGTAAATTTTTTAATTATGGTAATTGTAACAGAAACCGCAGTAACTGATATAGCTGTGTAATTGAAGAGTATTTTTCCAGTAAAGTTACACCACCTTTACATTTTATAACAAATTAGACAAAAATGATTATGTTAGTTTTTAACAACAGTACATGATGTAAATATACATAGTCAACCTTGCATACAATTTTTTGGTTTTTTTAAACCAATTAGAAAAGCAAAAATCTAAAACAGATAAAAGTCCTGGAAAGCTATTTTTTATGTTATTTAATCAAGAACATCATATTTAAAAAGTATAGAAAATGAAAGTTATTTAGCAAAGTGATATAAACCTTACAACAGGTAAATTGCGGAAACATGAGGATTGATATAAATATAAAGGAATATTTTTAGTTTATACATTTATTTTTTCTCTATATGTGCTCAAAAAATCAATTGTAAAGTAAGATGGCCTCAGTTATTAAAATTTGTAATAGATTATAGGTTTCTATAACAAATTTCTATACCTTGTCAACACATTGTTTAGCACATTTATTACATCAGTAGCTATATTTTTACAGAAAAATAACATACAAATGCTATTGAATACCCTGATATATATGAATTCTATATGAAAATTTGAAAATATGAAAAATTTGGGGTTTTGTCAATTCCAATTTGAACAGGTTTGAGGGAATCATGATATGGTAAAATCTGAGTACATATTGTTAATAAAAAGTTTTTATTAATTGATCATTCACGATACTATGGTTTCTCCATAGTTTTGTTTTGAATATTTTTATAATTGAGTCATGTATTCATTCCCTCATTCCACTTCATAACTACAATAGAACCTCTTTAAGTCGAACATTGAAAGACCAAAACCTACATAGAATTCTCAACTCTCTATTAGTCGAAATAATCAGTTAGTCCCTGCAAGATAATTTTGGTACATATTTTCGATCTATAACTAGAAAAATTAAATTGGACCTCTGTATCTCAAACATGTCTTTTTTTGAGACAAAATACTATCGAATACAATCAACCACTCATTCTGGCTTTTGTAGATTTCCATAAAGCCTTTGACAGGGTAGAGTTTAACAAAATCCTGAAAGCACTACAAGCATGCCGCATTGACTACCGATATACAAGGTTAATTTACGATACATACAAGAACGCAACTATGTCGGTGAAACTACATCAACTACATACATACGAAAACTCAGATCACATCCCAATCGGCAGAGGAGTCCGACAGGGTGATACCTTATCGCCTAAACTGTTTACCGCAGTACTAGAATATGCTTGTAAAAAACTTAACTGGGAAGAGAAAAGCCTGAACATTGACGGTAGAAGATTAACAAATTTGAAATTCGCAGACAATGTAGTTTTGTTCTTGGACAACCTCAAGGAGATATGTACAAGGCTTCAGTTAGTGTGTGCCAGTGTGGGTCTTAAAATAAACATCTCCAAAACAAAATTCATGACAAACCTAGTACCTAGCGGAAATATCAATATTGGAGACAACGAAGTAGAGCTGGTAGAAAAATACATATATCTTGGACACGAAATAAAGATCACAAGAGACAACCAAACATGCGAACTACGAAGAAGAATAAACCTAGCATGGGCAGCCTATGGAAAACTCAAAGACATCTTTAAAAGCGATATACCAATTTCTTTAAAACGTAAAACATTTGACCAATGTGTGTTGCCTGTGATGACCTATGGTGCCGAAACTTTGACATTGACAGCTACAAGTTCTAAAACGCTGCAAATAGCTCAGAGGAAAATGGAAAGATCAATGCTGAGTATATCGCTTCGTGACCGAGTTAGAAATGAAGACTTAAGACGAAGAACAGGAGTTACCGATGTAATTTCCCGAATTGCCACACTGAAATGGAACTGGGCCTGACACGTCGTCCGAATCAGTGATGAAAGGTGGACGAACAGATTGCTTGAGTGAAGGCTGAGGTTAGACAAAAGAAGTAGAGGAAGACTTCCTACACGTCTCAACTGACGACGATCTCAAGAACATGTCAAGAAATTGAATGAAAAATGAGGGAGGCCTATGTCCAGCAGTGGACGCAAAGGGCTGGGTGATGATCTCAAACATGGCAATATTTTATTTTGGCAATACGGGTGCTTGCTTGGTGTTTGATTTTATTATTTTTGATTTCATTTGAACTTTAGCGAGAAGCAAGTCACTTATTGTTGATTGAAAAATTGTCAGTAGTTTGGTTCTGCCGTAATACACATCAATTTTTACAACAGTCTACAAATATACTTGTTAAAACATGAGTGGTGTGAAACAAAAACTGAAAATTTTAGAGTCTCGCTGAAAAATTAGAAGTGTTAGAAACTGTGAAGAGCTGTCAAAAGAAGAATTACTGAACAAGTTAGCCTACTTATGAGTACTCTGTCAAAAATAATAAAAAAAAATGAATAATAACAATAAGAAAACATTCAAAATGGTAAAAATTTGCCTGGCAAAAGACGAGGAATTGGTGAATTCCTAAGCTTGGCGAAGTGCTTACTAAAATAGTTTGAACAGTGGCGAAGCCAAAATACCAATGTTAGTGGACCAGTGTTACAACTGCTTGCACAACTGTTCTGCTTAATATGTTAGCCAATACTATAGATAGAGAACAACCAAATTATCTACAGCAAAAAAGACTAATTTTTTATTGCCATATTTTTTATTTTTAGGATGCTATGAATGTAGATTTATAATAAATAAAAATGTTATTTATTTCAACTATCTAACATAAAGTTAGTAAGAATTATACTTTCAACCTTTTAATGTCTAAAATCCAAGTTGAAAACTCCTATATAAATTTTTTGATGTCTCTCTTGATGTTCGATTTATAGAGGTTCTACTGTTTATTTTTTTGTAATATGATACTATATTTTGTTTGATACATTTGTAAGTAGCTGTCTTCTTTTTGTTTTTTTTTGCTTTAATAGTATATCTGCTTCTTCATTTTCTTTTATATCACAATGTGTTTTCACCTATGAATGTTATTTGTATGTGATTATCTTTTATTCTGTAAGTATTTTACTATTTTGACAGTTTTCTGATAAATTCATTCCTTAAGTATTGTATTTTGACATTTTAAATTCTATTTAAGAGCCTCCAATTTTGCTATTAATTCTGCAGAGTAAACAGACATCTGTTATTTAATCGAATTTTATTAAAAATATTGTCATTAAGGGCCAAAATGGAGAAGCAGCACTGCCTGTGGTTTCGGAATAAATTATCTATATTATCAGCAAATACTTTATGTATGATTTAACTAGGAATTAATGAGTAACTTAATCTGCCATATATAACGGATTGACATTCCTTATAAATGTTTCATTTATTGAAGGTTGGATGATTCAATGTTTCCATTAAAGCTGGCGATTTTTGTGCTTCCAATACTCTTGGGTTAAATCCATTACATATAATATTTGGATTCTTCCTATTAGATTAGTTTTTCATATGATTACTCAACACTTTAGTTAGAAATTTTGAAGCCAGAATTATTCTTCGATAAGTAGGTGGATTTTTTGCAGCTTCAGAACATACTCAATGACTAAGTACTTTCTCTAGCTCATTGGCTAAAAAGAAGCTATGTATCTTTTGTAATATAGATCATCTGATCTACTAAATCCAACAAGAAATTATAGTTTTTACTACGCAAAATTAATATTACTAGAACAATTAATATAAAACTTACCTAGCCATATTAAACTAGCCAGCTTGAATCATGTTGAAATTGGATATACTGAGCTGATCAATTGTAAAAACTTTTTTGTAAAAAAAATACTGTAGAAAAAGTAATTTTGTAAAAAAATGGTAAATATTGTGGTTGGTATAACTATTAAATTTTGTATGTTTACTTGGTTATTTTGCTTAATTTGAATATAACTTCTCTTCTGGTATATACTATTTGCATAAAGGTCGCTTTACATTTACGAGTACTCGGATCCGAGTAGCTCGGATTTGAGTTACGAGTGGAACTGCGATCGTTTACATTAAATCCGAGCGATCAGAGTAGTTTCAAAGAGAATTTAAAAATGGCGCCATCAAGAAAGAAACGAGCTGCTGTTGCATTAGTGTTATTTAACATTTTAAAGGAGAATAAATAACGACAAAAAATTAAGACAAAGAAAAGCATTTGGGTGAAACAACATTTACAAGAGGTTTGTTAAAATTAATGATTACCTAATTTAATCTAATTTAAAGCATTATTTCCTTTGATAATGTCCCGATACTCCTTTAGTTTCACATTCCATAAACATTCAAAAGAACGATAAAGATCGATAAATTGATCCATTTGATCTGCAAAAAATCTTAGTTCCGCCATTTTTAATTTGGAATTTCCACCACTTTGACGCTCACTCGTACTGCTACTCGGTTTGCGTTCAACTTCAATCCGAGCTCGGATCCGAGTGACAAGAGGCTCCGAGTAGACATTTATACTTCCGAGTTGCACTCCGAGTAGAGTAACTAGGATCCGAGTACTCGTAAATGTAAAGCGGACTTAATACTACAACATTCTTTAATATCAAGTACCTTTTGGTATCAAACAGAGCATTATCCCTCCTATAAAGTAACATACAATAGAGGTATAGAAATAATTTTCAATTAAAAAGCTTTTACATGAAGTCAATTTATATTTTGATATCGAAATTCCTTGTAAATTTAACACCTACTCTTAAATATTCTAATAATTTAATTTGTCAATTTTTATTTTTATAGAAAACTATATTTGTATAACTATAGAAACAGTGGACAGGAAAACTGTCATAGCTGTCAACCTTAGAAATTACTGGGAAAAATAATCTTTTTTAATATATATTTATTAAATGCAAAATACAGAAGAAATAATACGACAATAATATGCATTAATCAGTAACTGAAGAATCCCTTGATGTTCCTTTCAAATTAGTAGAACTTGTGGCATCTACTATACTAGCAGCATAAATTCAACAATAGTTACCTGTAACTCATAAAGTTCATTACTATATTTTCCATACTCCACCATTCCCCCAAAAACTAGTAATTTGGTTCCATCCACTACAAAACCAAAAGCAGCACATCCTGGAGGTACATCACCTTTAGTAACGGGAATAAACCATTGATTTGTTGCTACAAGAAAGAAGATGAGTAAACAACTAATATTAAAGATTAGGACCATCTTTTTCTATTCAATGAACAAACTAAAATGGTAGAAAAAGAGATACTACACTAAGGTAATTTATTAAATATTTTGTTACCATTGCTTTCCGATTTCAACTATTATTGATATCTGGTCAACTAAGGATTGTGTGCTTTTCATAATCAATTCTCTTTTACCAGATAATCGCCATTTCAAGATTTAACTAGGTAGTATCAAAGAATAGACACTTATGTGTTCATATTCTTTGGCATGATTTACATTGCCTAAATAGTGTACTTCTATTTTAATGTCATGGGTTTGTCACAGAAAAAAATAGAAGATACTGGAAATTTTCAAGCAAATTAAGGTTCATTAACACATTATGACAAAAGCTGGTATTTTTCAATAGTATTTGAAATCACTGCATGTTTATTCAACAAACTAATAAAAAGAGTACCAGGTATTACTCTTTTATCATTATATTTCAGTATTCATGCGCCATATTGACATAAATTAAACATTTTAATGATATATAAATGCTCTTTCTAAATATCCTTTATTGATTCCGTTATATATTAAAGTAAAAACAGCTTTAAACTGTACATAAATGGTAACAACAGAACAGATATTAACTGAAGAAGGTTTAAACTTCAATCTGATTACCTGTATTAAAAACATGAAGCTCATCAACAATTCCTTCATTTCCGCCCCCAAAACAACCATTAAGTCTTTAATAATAATTGCACGATGTCCATGTCTTGGACGAGGATGAGGTCCAGTTGTATCTGCCACTACTTTCCACTTTAACGCCTTACCAGCCATTATGTGATTATTGGACTGTATTTGAGCATTGAATATAGTTGAACCAATGTGTAAGTACACTTCAATTTGTTCAGAAACAGGATACAATTTCCACAATCATTAAAAAACAAACATGTATGTTGATTTTGGATGGAAGTTTTGAAAACTCATAACTTCAACCCCCAAGCGGCAAAACGTTATAAAAGATGACTTTCTACATGGTCGGTAAAATCACTTTCCTCGCATCATTTTTACCGACGTTTGACTAAACAGAGAGTTCCGCCATCTAGAAGAAAGTAGTATACTATACGTAGTACCTACCTTTTTGGCTTTTATTTTTATTTTTTCTGTTCTTTTGAGATTCTTTATCTTTGCAATTTGTAATTTTTTATGTTATGTGTTTATATTCTAATTATTAAGTATTATTTATTAAAGCAGCAGAAGTGCTTTACCAAATAAGTTTTGAAATGTTCTAAGAGATGTCACTATCAGTAAGTTTGGTTTGTATTCGCGTTGTCAAACGACTATAGATGGCAGCACCTGTTTTGAAAGATGGCGGACGAAATAGGGATATCGTTTGTTGACATTGTAAAATTAATAATAGGGAAATTACTTAACTTCTGATTACTTCTCTTCTTATCGCTCATTATTTTTAAAATTTGATGAAACTAGTACCAGTTTTAAAATCCACTATTTTAAATTTTGTGACATTTTATCCCTATTTTATTAGTTATCTATCTTAACAACAGTTGGCAGCACGGTCATAATAAAATCAAACAATATAAGCGTCTATATTCTTTGATAAAATCCCTTTTACACAAAATATTACAATTTCCTCCACATTTTACGTGAGATTCAGTAAAATATAAAAATTTTTTCTGGTATTTTTAACAATTATAATAAGTTGTAGTATTTCATGAAGAATGGATTTACATAATTTAACCTAACGGTGGCTCCATCTCGGAAAATTTTGAAACCTATTTGACTGCTCTGCTTTTAGTAAATTCTAAAGATGTCAATGACGTATAATAAACCCCTTATAGGCGAGCAAACGAAGTAAATACTACTAAAATCTACCAATTTTCCGCAGCAAGATGAATCGCTGCGAAACTATTTGATTCGGGAAGTGTCAGGAAATATTGTAAACAAAATTCGTAGTGGTAAAATTAAATTGTATTTCGTGAATTAAAAAAAAAAATGTATTTTTAAAGGGCATAGAAAATTAGTATTTTTGAGATCAAGTACCTAAATTCAAGTTCAAGCCTTATTCTACCAACTTCAAATGAAAATTCTGGATTTACTTATTTTATTTTAAAAGTGTTTTTTTAATTTTGAATGGCGGGCGCTTATTTATACAATGAGAATTCAAACCAGCAATACCTATCAGAAATGATATAAGAATTTGTGTCCACTGCAGTTTCTTGTACAAGAAATGTGCAAATTTGTGCACAAAACCATAAAACTTCTGTCATCATGGCGGCTGGAGGAGAACTTTGATATTATACAATTTGGCGAATGGATTTAGTGTCCGCAGTCATTTAAACACAAAACAAACAACAATAGACCAAGTAGACATCAGATACAAGTGTCCACCGACAATAACCAAAATTTGAACAGCAGTAGCCAAATTGAAAAACAATAAATCACAGGTATTAGATCAAATAGCATCGGAACTGCTGAAAGTAGTAGATGTATTACCAAAAACAATACATAACCGCTCTAAGAATTCGTGATGAGTTTAAAGATTATTGTATATCTCCAAATAAGAGAGTAGAATTTCAAGAGCATACCATTCAAACAAATAATTTGTAAAAAAAAACAATAAATTATTACAACCAAATTATTTATTATTTTTGTCTTCCCTTACACCCTGTTGAATATCTTCAAAAATTGTGGTTTCCAATTTAGTTTTAATATTGGGATATTTTATTTCTTTCATTTTTGCACCACAGTATTTTAAAAAATAATCAGCAGCATCTGGCTTGGGGTCCTCAGGTACTGCAGTTTTATTTTTATAGGTGTCAAAATTTCGGGCAATCATGTCCCGAATATTTCCAGTAAAAGAACTTGCATAGTGTCATACAGAGCACAAATATTCGTGCAAGAAACGATACAAGAAAACATAAATAACTTTCTATATCAGAAACGATATAAGAACTGATACAAGAAACTGCATAGTGTCATACGGCCTTTAGATCTTGTTTCTCTCTTTTATACCCGCCGCAGCTCGAGCGCCCGTCCTGTCATAAGCGCTTCATTAACGAGTAAAAAACAATGTTCTAAAATGAAATAAGCTCAAAATATTTATCGAGAAATGATAGAACAAGGTTTTAACTTGAATTTAGGTCCTTGGTGAATTAAAAAATTATATTTTTGACTTGTGTTTTTGAGCCTTGAAAATCGTAATTTTGCCTTTTTTGAGTTTGGAATAGTTTATAAATCAAAACCATTAAGTTTCGAGACAAATTCCAAGAGACGTATTTTGTCCAGAATGATCCAAAAAATCAAGGAAGACTTGAAGAGGCTTATGTTCAGATGTGGACGTGAATGGCTAGACGAAGAAGAAGAAGAAGAAGAAGATCCAAAAAATAAAAAAAAAACTATCGGGGCCGAAAAATTGTTACAATTTGTTTAAAAAAATTTAAATAACTTTTCGCCTGGACTACCCTTATTTTGGGGTATCGCATGAAAGTGATTACCTATGCAAAAAAATCTCATGGGAATATTTTTTCGAACGATTCCAAGCTTTTCGTCTTGTTTATTAAAAATCATGTGGAGAAAATTATAAAAATTATAAGAAATATTTTAAAAACTAGAAAAAAGTACATTTATTGGTAAACTGTGACAGCCAGAGCAATTTTGATAACGGAATCATCTACGTGAAAAACGTGATAGTATGTCACTTATGATGGATTGAGTAGTTCATTTACCTTTTTAGAATGCTCATAAAGTAGTTTTATGTTGGGCGAGCTCCTTGTTTTAATCTACCAACTTTGTGAACATTAATATTGCCGTTTATTTAGTTGTATTTACTATAAGCAGTATTTAATTCTGAAAAGAGAAAGAAGGTGTATAAAAAGCTAAATCTGGAAGTTAAAACTATATATTGGCTGTACATCATTGACATCACTGAATTGTAACATATCGATGAGTACGGTGATAAAAAAGTCGCCAGTACCTTACTTCTGTAGTTAATCTGACTGCTCTACAGAAACATGTAATCCTGAATATCACAGGAGTTCTATTTTGGTATTAGCTGAGCAAGCTTATACCTACCGTTAGCAAGGAGCAAGAATAAAAACCAAATAGTACTCCACGAAGTGTCTAAAGGCCACTTTAGACCGTCGGTGTCTTATTTCCGCGTTGAGTTTTTCAAGACGCTTAATGGAAAAATTGATATTAAAACATCCTAAACAGGGTGAGAAGAAAAATGAACAATTTCTAATAGTTCCTCCAACTATGTTGTAAATTTCTCCCCTTTAGGACAAAAACTTGCTCCACAATTTACCAGTTCTTCCACTCGTAGCTGTTGAAAAGTAAACGTGGGTTGCTTATAATGGCAATCATTGTGTGGCCTAGCCTCATTTTCGCAATATCACAGGCGGTTAAATTAATCTGATTGTAGCCTGTAAGTATGTAGTACCCATCGAGCAAAAAGCATCGAGCAAAAAATAAAAGAGGGAATGTAAAGGTAGTGGGGACAAAAATATTGTTAGACAGGAAGTGCTATCTTGAGAGGCCACTTTAAACAAGGATAGACAGTCTCTTTCCTTGTTTAAGAAGTCAAATTTAGTTTGGATTATGTTATTGTTTGTCCCAACTGTCACATGAAATTTTATTTATATTGAAGTTTTTTACCAATTGTGTCACTTTTTAGACTATTATCGTTAATATTTAATCAAAACTTTCTTGTCTGAAAAATATTTTACAGCTATTCTTAACAAGTTAGAAAATTTAAATTTAGCGCCATTGCATTTCCGGATATGCCCGCTATCAGAGGCCACTTTTTTGGTCTCCTTTTCATAACGATTAGATTCCCTCTTTTATCTTTTTGCTCGATGGCAAAAAGACAATAGAGGGAATGTAAAGGTAGTGGGGGCAAAAATATTGTTAGACAGGAAGTGCGATCTTTAGAGGCCACATTAAACAAGGAAAGAGAGTCTCACTCCTTGTTTGACATCAATGACGTATAATATATAGACTACGCAGTCCCCTATTCTCGCTATAGAATCGAGTGTCCGAAAGATCTCGGCTCAAGGTTGAAGGTTTGTTTATTAGAACAGCGGCGTGTTCATTTATATTTTAATGACAATAATTATTTTTTTAATTAAAATTAAATATTTATGATTTCTTTTTGTCCCATCTATAAGAGAAATAATTATTTTGATAAAATAGTATGGCATTTTACTAAAATAGTAAGTAAATAACTCTCAACAATTTAAAATAAAATTTGCTTGTCACACAAAATGGAGAAAATGCTTTCATACGTCCATGATGTTTTCAAACACAAGATCAACTTCGTGATGCTTCGTAAGAAATCATGAACTTCGTGTATCTTCGTATCAAAACAATAAACAATAACAAAGGTATTCATGTTTTGGACACTTTTTAAAGCGTTCACTTAAAAGTTGATATCTGATATCTCATTTCAATGAGATATCAGATATCAACTTTTATATGTCAGTTCGTTTAATGTCTGTGTCACGTTTTACGTTTTGAATCTTGACAAAGGCAAAGGTTTCCTGCCGAAACGTTGATTAATTGAAATGGAAAATAAAATCTAGTTCCACATGTAATATATCTTTATTGAACCTAACCCAAGAAATATTAATTTTATATTAAATATATATATATATATATATATATATATATATATATATATATATATATATTAAAACCCACTAGCTAGCTCATAAGGAGTAAAAGGTTTGAACCTACGTCTCACAACAGTTGGTACTAGTAAGTCACGCACAATACAGTTTGATATAAACCATGGTTCGTTGGCTATCATTCTCGATGATTTAGATTTTAGGATCAGATGCTTAACCCGTTGGTAGGATATCGTATGTTCAAATAGCTTAATGAGCCATCTTGTAAATCATCACTTTGTCATCAAGTGATAACTTTGATGTGTGACCATCATCCAGTATAATTTTATACAGTTTAAAACAAAGTTGTTTTCTTTTTGTAAATATGCGTTTCTTCCACGTTAGTTGTCTGTCCAAGTTATTTGACCAAATAACAAATCCAACATGTTTGGCATCATCGTCCTATGATATAATATGTTTATTGTTTATGACCGCAGGTGGGTAGTTTTGTCGTCGATTCCAGAAGGATATGTAAGTTCATTTTGTTTCATTCAATTTAATTTGATTTAATTTGATGGCATAGTTAACGTGTTAATGGAGTTAACGAGCTCCAAGATTTAGTTAATTAAGAGTTGAGTGTTCATCGTAGTATTTTTCTCCAAAGTAACTATCTTTAAGATATGATTCCAGGATAGGAAAACAGTTAAGTTTTTTAATCTTTTCTAATACTAGTGTACTTTATCAAAAACTTACATCTAGAAACAACAGAGCTAAGTCTTTTTGTCTTTCAGGGCTTATATTATTTATATTTAGGCAGGGCTTTATTATTATTTTGTTTTTAACTTGTTGAATTTTTTTTTACATTTGGGTGATCTTCACAAAATCCAAATCCAAAACGCTGATTTGGTAATTTAATAAAAGTAGTTCTACTCTGGATTTACCTACTTTTCTAACAATTTTAATAATATAGAAAGCAAGCTTATTATTTTGTGTGAGGTCATACTTTCAGTTGGTTTACCAGGTTTGGGTACTAGAATTACCTATGCTATTTTTTAGTAAATTGAAAAATATTAAGCTTACTAATAGCTTTGCGTATTTGACCAGGTTTTGTTTTTAGCAACGGAGATTTTAGTAAATAGGGAAACTAGAAGTAATTGCATATTTACGAGTATATCACGCTCGTGGTCATTAGAGTCTGATGCGTTTGGTAGATAACATGTACTAGAAGCTTCGCTAATAAAGCAGCTTTTATTTTGTAACCACTGGTCCTGTTTATAGCAGATTTAGTAGCTTTATTAGTTGAGCACATCTGTTGCAAAAAGACTTCTTAAGTATTTTTAAATGTCATTTGTTCTTAAGTTTACTGTGTATTCTTATACCTGACTACAGGACACTTTATTCTTTGGTAAAATTCAAGTTGTCACCGTATGCTGACTGTTTTTCCTTGATTATATTTAGTAGGTCATTTTCATTTGTGATTTTTGTATTTCTGAAATAAAAAGCTGCATCTTCTATGGTTCCCATAAGGTGTTTCATAGCTTTTTCATTATCATTAAGCAGTATTGCTTAACTTGATACAATTTCCAAGTTTGTTGTACAGCGATCGTAGTACATATTTATCTAATAATTATACGTGAATTGAAAGTAACTATGATCGGATAATAATCTGATGACATGTCAAAATAAAATATTGAAGAAAAATTGATAAGTACAGCTTACTTTTCGCAAAAGTCTAGTAAATATATTTACTCCTGTCAGTAGGCCAATGTGCTGGTTTACTTGTAGATCAGTATTTAAGATAACTATCTATTATATGTTTTTGAAGTTGTCGTTTCTCGGATCCATTATCCTGGATTTTTAAAAGTTATGTTTAGCCAGATAGTCACTACCTGCAAGAAATTGATTGTCAAGTGTTTAGAATATATGATTTTTTTAATTAGTTATTTTTATAGTTTGTCGCGTCGAGTAGATTGCTGAAATAAAAATATTTTTTTTTATAATTGCAGCACCCGTATGGGCAGTATTATAAGGGTAATTTATGTTATAAATTAAGAATTTTGACATTCTACAATAGCTTTTTGTTGTAAAATTAGTTGTAGATTTGAGTAAAAGGGCAATGTCGCTGTTTTTGATAAAAGATTTTACTGCCTCAGTATTTTGCGCCAGTTCATTGGTATTGCATAAGGTCATTTAAAAAAAATATTCATCTTATTCATAAGTTGAACATATTTTCAGTTTACTTATTAGGGTTTGATCATACTTTTAAATTCCGATATGTTATGTGAGGAAGTATATGTATTATATATTTGTGTAGTGCTGTTTCCTAACTGTTCCATGGATTGTCCATTATTTTCTAATTTACAACTTGCAAATGCATGGTATGAAGTTAAATTGGTATAACCTATGATGCAGATTGAGTCTTGGGTCGAAGTGAAAAATATCTTTTTTTAATTGTAATAATAAGTAATTGGCCGGATGATTGCATTTGCATAACACACATTTAAAATACGCATGATTTTGTTCTCTTAGAAACTGATATCAATCGCCTGGTTAGCTGAATATTTTACTAATCTTAGTCTAAGATTAAAGTAGGAAGGAAATTAAAACAAAAGTTTTATGAAACAAAAAATAATATATTTCTTTTGAGTCACGTGATGGTAAAGCAACTGAATAAAAATAAACTTAAAAACAAATACATAATAAAATACACATATAAGTACACCTTTCCTTATGTGTCCAAGTTCAGGTTGGAATTATATAAGAAACACACCACACTTAGATGTATGCGAATTGATGTTTTCGTTTGAGTGGAACTACACGGTAGCCGTGGAGATTTACATTGACTTTCTTTTACAAGTTATGATGGTGTTTATGCGGCTTCACCTTCTTCACCTTCTTCTTTCTCGGCTGCTGTTAAGAGGGTGATAAGGGCCTGGGTGTCGATCCTGTTGTTGTCGTCGATTTCCATGGCATCGAAGGCATCATCGACTTCTTTGCCGGTGAATTTTTCTCCCCAGGTCATGAGGGCGTGACGGAATCTGAAATAAAAAAATATATTCCTTTTAAAATCATGCATTTTTTTTACAAAAAGTAAATACGTTTTAACTTTTACAGAAGATAGCATTGCCTGATATTTATCGTAAATAATTTAAAATGTTAGAAATAATAATTTCGTTGAATAAGTGGTAGGTTCTCGTTGCACAGCATAGAAGGGTATCACGATAGCATGATTGTTAGGAAGGAAATAGTTTTAGCCATGTATTTATTTTATTCGAACTTAATCAATCAGGGCAGTGAGCGAATAGGCAAACTAGCATGAGATTTAAAACTACCAGGCTGGCAGTCAACGTCACAAATACTATTGTAGCCTTAAAAACAGATTCGGTGCCGAATATAAGAATATAATTACATTAGTTAGAGGCATAATAAAATTAATGTAACAGCAAGAATAAATTTTAGAGGTATTTAATAGGAAAATTAGCTTAAAAAATAACAGGACCTGAATGAGGTTGGGTAAAGAAGGGGGCTTTACTGTAAAAACAAATTTTAAAAGAGTCATTAAGATATTCATATTGATTTGTTTGATATTCTTACCTGTCTCCATCAATGGTGCCGTTTTCGTCAAAGGATCTGAAAGCTTTGACGACAACTTCATCATCGTCAGTACCGCCTGAATCAGCCATACGGGTTCCGAACAATCCCAACAATTGAGTGAAGTTGATTGGTCCGGGTGCTTCGTTGATCATCTCGTCGAGCTCTTTTTCACTGGCGAGTTTACCAACAGCATCGAAGGTTGCCCTCAAATCGCTCTTGGAGATGATACCTGAAAACAAAACAAAATATATTTTCTATTTGTAAGGTATCCAGTGCAGCAATTTAACGCAATAACTGCTAAAAGACTAAATGTTTGAAAGCAATATATGTAAGAACAGGAATCCTCGAACTGAAAAACTACTGTCTGCAAGAAGGTACTATTGTTCTAGTAACTTCAAATGGTATACAATAATAAATACCATTCGAAATCAAAATTATCCGTTGTATCAGTGCTTAGTTTGAATTCTACGCAAAATATTGAATAGGAAAGGCTTTTTCAAAATGTAAATAGAAAAGCTGATGAATTTTTCTATAGCAATATGTAAAACATGAAAAAATAAAAAAATAATAATAAAAAAGAGACTAAATAGAGATGCACAAAGAAAAAAATTGTAAAATGTTTTGATATATACATTTTTATGAAGAAAGATGTATTTTTCAACTGTTTCATTATGGCACAAAACAATAGTAATATATCTTACCATCTTTGTCGTGGTCCATAAGTTGGAAAGCTTCTTTGAATTCAGCTACTTGAGATTGCGAAAACATGGAGAAGACATTGGAACCAGACCTTTTGGCTTTCTTGGAGGAACTCTTTGAGGAGGACCTGGTTTCGGCGGGGGCAGGAGCGACAGCAGGAGCTTCTCCTTCTTCCTTCTTCTTCTTCTTAACCTTCTTTTCTTTATCCGCCTGAAAAATAAAAACGTCCCGTTAAAGCTTTTGTGCCAAATGATAAATACAGATGGATTATCATAAAAATAGATGTGAGACAATATGACATAAGTAAGTTTGAGCATAAGTCCTAACTCACATCACAGTATATGTAGTTATAGTTGGTAATTGCTTCACTTTCTATTAGTTACAATAGTTTAACTTGTTAATTTATGCTTCAGCCCCCAAAGTAAGTTTTAATACTACGTTACGTCATTCTACAAAGAAAGGAAGATGCTGTGTATTAAAAAATGTCTATAAAAGAGAATTAAAATTTCCAAAATAAAAACTGTAGGATAGATATTTTAATAACTAAGAAATCTAAGGAAAGAGAATACCCAGCTCAATAAAAAATAGGAATGAAGATGAAGAAATAAATTGTAAATGAAAAAACACATAAGGGATTAAAGTTATTTTATAATTTTTTTAATAATGAGTTGATTGGAATTATTTGTAAAACGAAGATACATTTATTAATTACTATTTCCTAAAGTAATTTTATTAGTCCAAACAAAAATAGGAATTAATCAATAAATAGTGCAAAGAAATATTTTCTGACTATAAAAATAAATCTTAAGTCGTAGTAAATCGTTGACAATCATCCAGATATTCTCAATACCTATCCTAAATTCAAATCTTAAAAAAATCAAGAATTTCAGGTCACTTTAAATCTATTTTGGCACGCCACCAAATAGAGAGAACATTTCCAATCTCATATTTGTTCTAAAAATATCCCAATATGAGTTCGTGTTACTACGATGTCATAAGCACGAAATTATTTTTAGATCCCTGGAAATGTTGTTCCAAATTTTTTAGGCTCATTCAAGGTTTTCAATATTTTTCGCAATTACAGCATTTAACATTATAACAACAAATTACATTTTTACTGATAGATCACTTGGTATATAAATCCTAAAGAAATATACAGTTATTATTATTCTTTCATTGAAAATAGTTCATTCATTTATATAAATTTTAATAGAAAACAAATTAATATAATTAATTAATATATAACTATTATATAATTTATATTAATAAACAAATTTTATAGAAATAAAATGGTAGATAATAAACGTAAGTAGTACGTAAAATTTTAGGGAAAGAAATTATGTTTCGATTGAAATGGGTTAATAAATAGATGAATAAATAGATCAAAAACTGAATTGTTAATTAAAACGATTAATTAAAATGATATAGTGATACCATTGAGTTAAAATTTACAAAATAGTTATTATACAAAATAGCGTTTACTTTGGTAACTTAAAATATATGTCCTAATTATCACTAACATGTTCCAGTCAACTTAACTCATAAGTGAACATATATAATTTGCCCCTAATATACCCATTCCGATTTTGAGTTCATTCTAACCAACTCTTCGTAATTTTTCTAAAAGGGTTATAAGGATCTTAACAAATTCAATATTTTTTAAAAATTATATCAAAATAGCCTGAATATAGGAAAATGTCAAAAGCTAAGATTAAATTTACATATATATTGACATATTATTCAAAAAAATTAATTTAGCGTTACTTTTTAGTTCTTTAATGAAAAATTATTAAAGTTTTAAACTTTATAAAACTTTTTAATTTAGAAAGCGTGCAATATATAAAGAAATATAGAAAAATGAAATAATTACTCTAGCTACAAATTATTTTTAGCTTGTAATAAATAATAAATATTACTTTAATTAATTCTAAATACAAGACCAAAAAATAGAGAAATGATTTGCACAATTTTATTTAGAACTTTAGTTTTACACAAGACATAATTTAATTTTGGTTTTACTTGCTGGTCATTTGAAATTCGTATAATACACGTTTAAAAATATTTAAAGGATATAGTAAATTTTTTTAAAAAAGCAGTTAAAACAATAATAAAAATTACCGAAAAAATATTGTTAAAAAATCCTTTTAGTTTCATGTAAAAACATATGTAAATTTAAATAACTTGATCGCATATTTGACAAAATTCGGAAAAAAGGAGTAACTCATGACGTAATTTTTCTCTGCTGCATATATTCGCAATCGCTTTATTAAAAAAAACGAGTGTTATATAACTATAGATCTATTACCATGGTTTAAAATTATCACTCTAACACAAAGAAATCACATCACAAGACACTTCCACAAACACAGGGACATCCATTTAATCCTTATGTCTATAACATTTCCCTTCAGTTCGTCCTTAGGGAACTTTAGTTCAACTTACCATGGTTGTCAACGATGTTAGTTTCTCCAAGTAACACCCGCAACTGGGAGACTAGCTACAAAAACTTTCTTAAATAACATAAGGCGTCGGCTCCCGGCGATGCGTAGCGACGCTTGCCGTCTTTAACCCGTTTTGCGCGCGCCATATATAGCTTCTGCTCAGAATAGATTATCTTTTCCACCGGTCAGCGCAACGTGAAACACTATCGTGGAATTCGGGGTTTGGTGTTTGGGTGGTGTTTAGATTTAAAATTACCTATTGAGTAGTTTTACGGGGTGATTTGGATTTCATACCTGTTTTTTTACTGAAGATTTCTTATTCTTCTTTAGCGTCTAAGTTAGTGATCATCACAGTTGTACAAATTTTAGATCATATATAAGGCCTCTTCGACACACTTTATTTACTCTTTACCAGCTTTTTTTCACATATTCTTATTTTCTTCTCTTTTAGTTAGAAACTATCCTGATAATTCTGTTATTTCTTTTCAGGCGTTGGTAGATCAATCCAATACCATGGTAGGTTTGGTGTTTTTTTTAGTATCCGGTAATATGACGTGCTAATCTCCATCATCTTCTTCATTAAGTGCCATCTTCGTTATGGAGGTTGGCAATCATCATAGCCACTATAACTTTCTAAGTACCTGCATTAAGAGTGCAATCCGTAAGATTCCCTTAGATTCAGTCAAGATATTCATCTTCTTTCGACACTCCTGCTCTCTGTTTTATCTTGGATTATGTGGAGCATTTATTTCCTTACAATATATGTACGAGATATTAGAGTTTTCTTTCTTTTACTGCCATTTCAACTTCTTTTTATTTCTTAGTTCTTATAAGGTCACCTATAAAATTTTCAAAATCCTTCCACTACTCAAGTTGTCAGAGACGAAAATGCTACTGAACCCCTAAAAATCATACTAACAAGCTGAATTTTGCTTAAAATGTCAATTTTAGGACGCTAAAATAGATGCAAAAAAGTTTACCATATGTACCTCCGGTGTTTCCTCTAAAATCCCCCACTTAGAGGGGGGAAACCCCGATTTAACAATAATCTGTACGCCATAGAAAAAAATGTTTCAAATAAAAATGTAGCTAAGATAATTTTAAACAATAGTACATTGTTTACCGGGTAGGAAAAGCTTAACATTCCTGGACGACTGTGAAGATTGCTAAGTCGAGGCGCAAGCCGAGACTTAGCAACACAGAGTCCAGGAATGTGGCTTTTCCTACGAGGTAAACATACTATTTTTCCGCAAATCGTTTAAAATTCGACAGATATTGATTGATTTAAAAAAAACGCGATAATTTTATTCCCAAATAAATGGTGCTTTGAAATTCCTAATACAATTACTTGGGTTACTATGGAAACGTATTGAGGTTGAATTGTCAAACTTTTCTATCATTTATGTAGAACACTAACAACTGTACGGAAATATCATTTCCTTACAGTAAGGAAATGACATTTCCTTACAGTAAGGAAGTCCTGACTTTTTCTTCAAGAAATTTTGACAGGAATGTCAAAATTTCCTGGCGATTTGCGGAAAAAACGTTTATTAGCATTTTTTATGTAGAATAAACCGTCTCTCAGAAACAATGATTGAAGCGATCGGTGATTTTGAATGTCAGTTACGCGCGTGAAATCAATCTTCATTAAAATTTGTATTAGCTCCACGATAAAAATTCAATAACTTTTGATCCTAGTGTCATATCGCCAAAAATTAGGATTTATTTTAAAGGTGAAAAGTGCAGCTTTCGTATACAATTTTTGTATTTTGCAGCAAATGAACTAAGGTTTTATAGAGATGTTAAATATGTAAAAGGTGGCACGATTTTTGCCATTTTTTGTGATTCTCATAAGATCAATACAACGTACTTCTTTCATTGACCGGCCACTATAAAATTTCTATAACTAGAAACTAACCTTCAAAACCTATAGGATGAAATTTTAATTTTGACTTTTGGCAAATGTTGGCATTTCAAATATGCTTAAAAACGCTGATTTAAACTTTCACATTACAAACAATCTAAAACGTTTAAAACTGCTCTTTTTTTAATTTCACTAGTATGTTTTTCAAAACGTACTTAACTTCTGCTATAAATTATACCTCAAAAATCGTGTTCTTGGAGCCATTTTCTGTGACGTGCGATTATTTGTTATGTAAAATTTTAAATTTTGCGTTTTTAGTTATATTTCAAATGCTTCATATTGGTTACCAAAACTCAAAATCAAATTTTCATGTTATAGGTTTTGAAGGCTGATCTTCAACAATGAAAATTTTACGACGACTGGTCAATGAAAGTAACAAATAGTATTGATCTCACGAAAATTGTAAAAAATGTCAAAAATCGTTTAAAGTTTATTTATTGAACGGTTTTTATAGAAACTGATTACATTTGCGGCAAAATACAAAAGTTGCATACGAAAGCAGCACTCTTCACCTTTAAAACGCAATTTTTTTTGTGGATATGATACTTTGATTAAAATATATCGACTTTATACCGTCGAGTTCATACAAATTTTATTTAACATTTATTTTGAGCGCGTAAATGACATTCAAAATCGCCGGTTGTTTCAAGCTTTATTTCTGAGAGAACGGTTCATTTTACTCTAAAAGTGCCAATAAACATTTTTGTTCAAAATTATATCAGCTACATTTTTTATTTAAAACATTTTTTTCTACAGAGTACAGATTCTTAGTAAATCGATCTTTTTTTGCATTTTTACTCCCCTACGAGGGGGATTTTAGGAGAAAGGCCGGGGGTTAACGTGGTAAACTTTTTTGTATCTTTGATGCTTGTTCGTATAATTTTTAGGGGTCTGGACTATACATGTATCCATCGCAAAGGAATTTAGTCTTTATATTCCCTTTTAATTAAGCTTCCATGATTCGATTGCCTATTGTCAACTATCTATTACAAAGAATCTTTTTTAAACTTTATACAGTTAAAAAAAGTGTGTTTGCTCTATTCCCAATTTTACTTTAGAAGTAAAAGTCTCAGTATTATTGTTCTTATTAATTTTCGTGTTTTTAACGTTAAAGGAAAGTCCATATTCTTCATTTTTCCTCATTAATTATTATTATTTCTATATTTTCTAAATTATCAGCTATTATTACAGTATTATCAGTGTGTCTAATATTGTTAATTCAAAACCCATTTACTTTTCTCCATGCTGTCTCTGATTCAATAATTTTCCATACGATTTCCTCAGCGTAAGCGTTAAAGAAGAGAGGTGACAATATACTACTGTACTATACCCTATATTTGTCTGACTTCCTCGCTTCGATTTCGACATCTTCAGATATTTCTCTTCTTCTTTTTATATTTCCATAACCCTTATCGATCGTTAGATATCATGTTGGCTACCATATTTACTATCGTAACTTTGTTGACACCAAACACCAAACCTACCATGGTATTGGATTGATCTACCAACACCTGAAAAGTAATAGTTTCTAACCTGATAGTTTGTAACTAAAAGAGAAGAAAATATGAATATGTGAAAAAAGATGGTAAAGAGTACCTAAATAAAGTGTGTCGAAGAGGTCTTATCTTTGATCTAAAATTTGTGCAACTGTGATGATTACTAACTTAGACTGTAAAGAAGAATCAGAAATCTTCAGTAGAAAAACAGGTATGAAATCCAAATCACGCCGTAAAAGGAGCCTATACTCCTTATAATAACGTAGAAAGAATAGAGACATTAATCTTTATAAAAGCTGATTTGGTTTTCCTATTCGGGTTTTATTTCAGTAGAGGGGTGCTATTGGCTGTTTATGTTGGTACCAAGGTATGTACAGCTGATCACACTGTGAATTGGCTGTTTGTTAATCAAAAGTTGTGTATTTAGTTATTCTGTGTTTTTTTTTTATTGAAATCCATTCCATATTCTCTACCTATATTCTATATGAGCGACATTATTATTTGTAAAATCTCACTCCTCTATCTATGGAGATTGCTTCTGTTAACTTGTCATCCACTTTAATGTTGGCGGTTTGGTTGGGTTATATAAATTATATTATATTATAGTTCTTAAGTCTTTATTATCTAAGCCCACTTCTTTCAATATGGTTATGCAGATGGTTATTACTTGTAGCCGATAAATCATCCCTTTAATCCTATCTAAATGATACTCCAGTGCTGATTGATATACTTCCCAGTTTGTTTTACGAGGGTTGTGATTTTAAAACAGAGGATTCGATGGACTGAACAATACACCTCATCTGATATATGCCATTTTTTAACAGTTTCAGTCACATGAGTCGTGACCAATGCTATATCAATAATTATTACAAACAAACACAAAATCACTCTTTAAACATTTCTAACACTATTGATCACGTTTTTTAAATACTATATTTAAATCCTAAAATATTAAAAAATTCAAATTATATTTAATAAAAACGAAATAATAAAAAAGGAACACATTTAGAAGAAAACATGGGCAGGCTACTTTAGATCCTTTTGTTGAAGCTGACGATAATGAACCACCAAATCACAAGTGACAACAAAGTGACAAAAAAAAAAATAAATATGAAAAAAGCGGTAAAGGAAGCATTTAGGAATAAACAAGTCAAAAATTGGAACCAGGGGAGGACAAAATACCAAATGAACTTCTAAAGTACGGAGTACCAAATCTGACCAAACAACTAGTAAATCTAATCTAAAAAATAATAGAACAAAAATTATAGAGAAATTAATTTATTAAACACAATACTAAAATTAACAACCAAAGTGATAACTAATAAACTGAATGAAATTATAACACTAGTAGAAGAACAACAAGGTTTTAGGTCAAAAAGATCATGCATCTTCTTCTTATGGTGCCTATCCGTTATGGAAATTGGACACTAACATGGCTATTCTGACTTTGTTGACTGCTGCCCTGAAAAGTCCGGTAGTGGTTAAGTAAAACCATTTTCGCAGGTTATGCAGCCAGGATATTCTTCTTCGTCCTGGACCTCTTTTGCCCGATGTACTCAAGCTTACGTTGTTACAATCC